GATGGAGGAAAACATGTAAGGATGGAGTGAGGATGTGAGGCAAGAAAACAGAGGAAATGCAAATCAGTCCTCTCCAAGACATAGAGGGGATTTTCTACAACACTGTACTTTCCTCAGCATGCACTTCTCTGATCTTTATATTACACAAATTATATTACAGCAAAAAAAAAAAAAAAAGACTGCAGTTTGCTGAGGGCTGCTGGAATTCCTCCGAGGGTAAAACCCACACACGCTTACTACACAAATCTCTCAACAGCCTGCAAGCGATGGCTCGTGCCCCTCTCCCAGGCGGTGCCACTCGGCGGCTCCACTGGGATCGGAGACCCGGGGAGGAAAACGGCGGGAGGGCAGAGCCGTCGGCAGCAGGGTCAGAGCGCGGGGAGAGCGGCCGCGACCCCGCTCACCTCCACGGCCGCCGGCTCCGCCCCACCAGGGCCCGGGGAAGCCCCAGGGACACTCGGACACAGCTGCCCGGCGGCGCCCCCGGANGCTCGCGCGTGCGCAGAGGAGAGGGCCCACTCCCTGACCGCTTCTGCTTGGGCCCGCCCCGAATCTTGGTGTCGCGCGGGACGGGGCGCGAGGCACGTAGGCGGCGCGCGGCGGATGTGGTGGCTCCGAGCGTCTGTGGACGCCGTGAGTGGTGTGGGACCAACCCCCGCCGTGAGGTGACAGTGACAGTGTCACCAGTGGTACCCAGTGTCCTGAGGCACAGCAGCAGTACCCCCAGTGCTTCCCGTGCCCACAGTGTTCCTATCACCGCTGTTTCCCAGGGGACAGCGACAACGCCACCAGTGCCACACCAGTAGTCTCAGTGTTCCGAGAGGCAGCGACAGTGTTAAAGAGATAAGAAGGGAGAAATTACTTGGTGTTAGATCGTGAGTGTGGAAGTCTCACGAGTTCAGCTGTTCTCGGTCTTTGTGATAACTTTACAGCACCGCAGAAAGGCACATACGAACTGATAAGAATTTATTAGCGAAACTTCAGATAGCTTTGGGGAATATACAAGAATTCTGAATCTAAGCAGCGTTCTGAGACTAAACAGTGTTCCTAAATTGTGTCCTCCCACAGACTTTCCACAGTCTGTGGAAGTCTGGTGGTATTCCCTCGCCGAAGGGCTGGCCTACTTCCCGGGGAAACTGGCGGGGTAGGGAAAAAACTTGTGGAAAAGAATTCAGAAAGGTGGGAAAACACAGCACGTGCTGTGTTTTAGAAGGACTAAATACTGCATCTGGCCCGGAGAGACAGATGTAGCTTAAAAGCTATTTTTGTTATCCGTGCCTGTTCTGGTCTTTGTGACATTTGCCAGTGTCAGGAAGGGCAGAAAGGACCTGGCCGCAGCGTTGCGAGACAGCATCTGGCGAGTCCAGGTAAAAAAATAAAATAAATAAATAAAAAGAAAAATAAATAATCCATCCTGAGTTACTTTTTAATATTGTAAGCAATATGTGCACAAATTCTGTGGGGGTTTGCATGATCATCAATAACTGCATGCGGAGGCCACAGACGGTGTTTCTGTACTGAAGGCTTCACTTAGACAAGAATTTCTCATTAATCACCTTGTTCCTGATCTTCCCTGGGGGAAAGGATTGAAGCAGCAGCTCTTGCCTGTCAATTCAGCACTCTTCTACAGTGATTTGCCAAGAGTCTTGGGAAATGAACATAGCTGCAGCCATTCCGCCCATCCCACAAGACAAAGGCTCTCTCCAGTCTTTGCTGGTGGGTAGGAGGATTTCTGTCTACTGATTAGCTTAGCCTTGAAGGAAAATACCACAAAACAGATTACCAGGAGACCAATTAAACATAACTAATTCCCTTGCTAACCAGAAAATGCCTCATTTTGTGTAACCATTAACTTTTAGGTTGTACAGAGGAGTAGGTAATACAACATCCTGGAGACCTAAAAGATATAAGAGATTTTGAAAATTTATGACTCTGTTTTGAATGGTATCTATTTTGTAACTTAGTTGACCATTTAGCTGCTCCTCTAAGATTTTATGCTTTGTGTATTGTCTATGTATACTGAATTGTTTTGATCTTTGAAAATCAAATCAGCTTCACCCATTAAGTTTGAATATGAAACAGTATTTTATTCTGAAGTCATGCAGTTACCATGTTACGGTCTTTTGAATTAATTCCCACAGCAGGCTTATAGCATAAAATATTAAATATATATTTTAAAAATGTAAATTCAAATCAGTAGATGACACTGATAGTGTCATCTATCTGGAAACACAGGGTATGCAGTGATTAATCCACAGTTCTCAGAAAGAAGTCTCTGACAGACTAGCTCTTTGTCAGGGTACAGGGATTGTCTGATACTCCACTGTCTTTGTAGAAAAGGATTTAAACTTTTTATAACATATAAAATAGAGTTTGAGGAATGTTACTTATAGTTTGCATCTTACTTCATAAATGGACCTACTTACAAAATGTTCATTAGACACTAACCCCTCCCTCACTACAATTCTTCATTTGAATATACACCAGATTACAGCAAGAAGACATGCATATCTGTCAAATGACCCTTTACCTATTTAGAGATCTATTTAGTTTGTGACGTATTACATGTCTTCATGCCCCATTTTCAATGACTTTAAAACAATATACCCAGTGGATTAAGGGAAAGATTCATTAATGCAAAATTAAACTAATAAATATAGGCATTTAGACCTGGTATCCTTTCAGGACTAGGAGTAAATTCCCACTGTAATAAATTTTTGAGCCCCTGGCTGACCAAAAACAACTTTGTTTTGGGCATAGAGTACTAAAATTTCCTCATGGAAACAGACACCTCAATACTGCCCGAAGTTAGAAAAGTGCTTCAGAGGAATGCTCATTTTAGACACCAAGGAGTTATAATACATGATGTAAATTTCAAAACACAAATCCATAGAAAACCAGACCTCCTTAGCTCTATATGCTTCAAGTTATATATGAACTTTAAAAATACCTATGTAATACACAAAATATTATGTGTAACAAATGGAAAAATATCTACATAAACAATAACTAATTCCCTAAATTATTTCACTAGCTGCAAAACTGGCAATGTCTGACTATGCCAGCTGTTTTATATAAGATAATCTCTCTATGTAGCCTATTTCCACCAAAATAATGTGTATATGTTGCTTGTAGCACAGTTACAGTCCAGGAAAACTGTTTATTTCAACTCCTTCTTGAAGTCTGTGAATAATGCCTTCTTGTGACAGTTTAATTAATAACCAGCATAAAATTAACTTATCAAATTATCTGCACTGTCTAGACTTACTATATGTGGCCCTCAGTGCTGCTGGTAACAGAAATTGATTGTGGTTTGTTTGTTTTTAAAATGGAGATGCTATCAAGTGTTAGATGCATTCACAGAGGAGGAGGTAAACCCACCATCACCGTAACATTTCATAAAACCAAGTCCTTGGATTTTGAGACCAGCTGACAGCAGCTGTTAATTCTGATAATCCAGAGGAAAACTCCAGACTAATGCTTACAGAACGTCACTCATGCAACACGTAGAGTCTTACCAGGCACGTAGATGAAAGTACTAGCAAGTATAGTCTGATAGAATTTCTGATTCCAGATCCTATCTGTGTGCTTGCACTTTGCTAGCAGCTTATGTACCCTCATCACTGATTACATAGCTGAGTCATATAATTTATTTCAGATATTCCAAATTGCAAAATCAAGGAAGAAGCTTAAGAAAAAGCATAGCAAGTGGAGCTATTCTTATCATTGCAAATTACTGGGGTTTTTTTTCTACAAAAAAACAGTAAGAGGAGCAAGCTTTCTTGTCCACACTCCCATTAGAACATATTTTAATTATCAGAGATTTATTTTCCTATTTTTCTTTCCACTCTTTGCTTATGCAAAGCAAACTGCACCATCCCTCAAGTGGTCTAATACAATTGACTTCAACATTTCAGAAGCAATTTGAATATGCTCAAACGGCTGCTGACACATTATTCTGTACAAATATCTTTAGTGTTTGTGAAACACAAACTGTTCTGATTTAAAATCCATTTTTTAGGGTGGACAGAGAACATCTGTAGAATGGGGCACGCATGCTTTTTCTAAATTTTCCTGCCAACATGCCCCCGTGGTAAGGCCTCTAAAACCCATGTAAGGGAAATGAGGATGCTCTTTCCCTCCCTGTCCATGTCATACTGACTGTCACTAGTAGTGAAAGCAAATGTACTAGGAGTTTATCCTGTATTCATTTATTCAATAGAGACATTACCTAATTCTTAACTTCATACAGTCTGCCTACACTGTTTCAGAGGTCACTAAAGAGCATGACATAAAAACTAAGGGCCAAGATTTATGAAGATACAAATGCCTCCAAAATGTAAAGCGGGACATTCAGTCTATCCCATCCAAGCAGATTTTGCTAGAAGTTCATAATCTTAGTAGAAGGTATCATTAATATTAGGAACTGTTAGTTTTCCCTTGGGAAAATTACTACTGCATGAATACATAAGATCTTCCAGCCTATATATCCCTTATGTATATCAATTTGTCACTGGAGTTTGTCATAAATAAATAAAAATTCATCTGGAAAAAAAATGAATGGTGTCTAGTTTCATATGGATTTGAGTCATGTCTCTCTACCTCTCTTCAGGCCGCAAGGACCCATAATTCCATGGTCTATTTCTCCTTCCTCCCAGAAAGTGCTGCAGTTTGTACAGAAGCAGAAATACACCACTCAGCCCCACCAGCATCACAGAAAATACCAATCTTACCCTGAAACTTTTTCCTCAAAGGATGCCTTTCTCTGATTTCTGTCACTCAACAATCGCCAATTTTCATGAAGAATTTAAATGGCCTTAGAGTATTCTAGCTCCTGTCCAATTATTTGAAACTGAACAATGGACTCAATGTGAGTCTGACATATAGGTGGATGGAATACACAACCACTTACATGTTGTTTCCTTAGGAAAGTGGGCTTTGGATCTGCAGCATGGAACTGTAAAAGCTCTGACAAAATAAGACTACTAGTTACACAGAGATTTAAGTGGTAAGAAAATTGTTTATTGTTGATGCATGGAAATTGTTCTCCAGGTGTCATAAAATGACAAACTACATTTTTAAAACCAATACATTACCTACTGGTGTACCTTCAGGCTTGAGGAACAGTGAATTTTACTGCAGTGAGACTAAAGAGAACACGCAAGTAGGGTCTTCAGAGCAAAAATTTTTCCTCTATTACCAAAGTATCCAATGTCTTTAAAATAAACATCTCTTTTCCTCCTCAGCTTTTAGGACATGAAGCTTCGTATTTTGAGTGTGTGTGCACAAAAGTGTGTGTGTTTATATGTATACTTGTGTATACATGTAAGGATCTTGGGAAGAGGCAGATCAAAGAGCATTTATTTATAAACCTTGTTCTGTATGCTGTGGGAACAAATTACAAAGTGTAAGTCTTGTGTCTGAAAAAGTTCTGTTGTCCCTGCCCTGGAAACCTCCCTCATTTGCCAAGGATTTAACTGCTGTAGTAGAATTTAGAGGGTTATCATGACACTCATGTGCTTAAATACTGTTTCACAGAAAGCTTTGATTATCAGGACAGACTTTGAAATCAAACTCTGCGTTCAGTGCATAGCCAGCTGAACTCCAGGGCAAACTTATCACCATGACCTGTTGCTAAATACACAGGGCTGCTGTGTTTTACAACTGCCTGAGTTTTTATAACATGGAGCTTTGTCCCTGAGGATGAGTTGCAGCAATGAAATATGAAGGTCATATGTAATGTGATGTAAATATTGCTGTGGTCATGAGTGAGGCTGATAACAAAGGACACAATGTACAGCTCGTTATGGAAAGCATATTTTTGTTGGCAGGCTGAAGTCAAAGAGAATCCCTGTGCTTCACTATTGGACACAGGTGCTCTACTGGGAAGCACTCCCTGATTCCTGAAGGCAAAAATCAAGTTCCACTTAAATTTACTGTCATCCAGATGCTAAATCAATGTCAGACAAGTGCTAATTTTGGTGGGCCATTGAGGATTCAGTGTAATTCAGGTAACTATTTCAGCTTCATCTGGATGCTTATCTTGGCAGTGCACTGAGAATTCAGGAAGAACCTAGTGTTGTTCTGACTTCATAAACATTTTCATTTCAAATTGTAACTTGACTGTTCAGGTGTGCTGCAGCTTTTTTTAGATTGAGAAATCATAACAATTACCTTAATTAAAAGGACTTGAGATATTTCAGAACATTGTTTTAGCTCTGAGGTTGACAAACAATATGCAAGATATCACAGAAGGTAGTGATTGCAGACAAATTCTATCTTTCACAGAATGAAAACGTGGAACATAAGTGGTGTATCTTACTGTGCATGGGCTTATGAATGACCCCGCAAGTCTTAGTTCACAGGTATTAGAGAGAATTGGAGATTTTTTTCTCAGAAAAATACTTTAGTAGAACGCAGTAGTCTGTGGAATGACTTTTACAAACCAACCATGTCCTGGCCACTGTTGGAATTATTGTGCACATGAGAATGTATAACATACTCATATGAGTGATGCTGTTAGGAATAGCTACAACTAAGGCAGAAGTATCTCAGATAATCTCACACATTTAAGGTTTTGTTGGTTTTTTTTAATGTAGATATCCCATTGTACTGTACATGCATTTATTTGTGTATATCAAATGGACAATTAATATACACAAGCGCAGGTGCTTATTTTGTTCAGCTAGAAAGGTGTTCATGAGCAACCAGATACACTTTAAATTTTAAAGCTCATATGGCCCTTAGAATGGGATTTTACTTCTTCATGGCAAATTCTTTTGGTGTGTACAGCTGAAAGATGCAGATCATAGTTCTTTCCCCTTTAACAAAATTCTGCAGCCAGTATACCACTTCAGATATTTTCAAAATAAACCTTAAGTAAAACCTCTTGTATGAAGGCTGGTTTTTATAGGCCTTGATCATGCTAAACTGCCACCCCAGGTTTTGCTTGTATGTACTCACAAACAGGATGCTGAATGTTACCACACAATTTAAATAAATGTTTTCAGTGAAGCCCTATTTAAAGCTTTCCAAGTGCATCTTTTAAATAACAGACTAAAAGTAACAAATATCTGTTCACATATATTATTAGTTCATGCTTATGTGGTATTATCCATCAATATGATGAACAAGTACTTATTCCCTATAAAAATCCTTACTCTAGTAATGTATCTAAATATATTTAATTCTAACATTGCAAGTCTTTGTACCAGTTCTTGACTATTGGAAGCCATCATATTATTCACAGCTCAGTGCAAAGTAGGCTGCCTGGAATCCTCAATAGTGCACCTGAAGTTCTTTCTCAACAAATTAAACTTAAGCTGTCTCTAAAATTAATCTCTACTTAAAAGTCATAAAGTAATATGCATCTGATTTCCTCCCTCCAGGGGCTGGTGAGTCAGCTTAGACATTTTGGGAAGATGAGTTCCCAACTGAGATGTTGTAACCTCTGGCAGATATCATGAACAGACAACAGACCGCCTGCCGTTCCATCTAGAATGATCTGAAAAAGAATTTATTTAAAAAAATCTTGTTTATTTGAGCATATTTATGTTTTGAAACAATTCAGCATTTCATAATACCAAAGCAGTAGGTTAAAGTTTGGATATGATCAGTTCCTGGTTTAGGTAAATAGGTAACTAGATAACACAGGATTAGTCACAAATATTTGAGCATGTGAGTTGTGAATGAAGCCTATGACCCTCCATGTCAATAAAGAAAAGCACAAAAACACTAAGGAATCTGATGTCTAGGTAGGGCAATGTACCCAGTATGCAAATTATCTCACTCTATGGAGGGTACACTGTCTTAACACTTCATTACAGATGCTCAGAAACTGTGAGAAATTCAACATATTTTCAAACAGCTCATTGGTTATGAGAAAGGGATTTTGGTCCGTAAACTCTGACATTGACTCATCTGCAGAAAGTAGGTAGAACTGGCTAATAATATCATACACATAATACCACTATCACAGTGTCTGCTTAAAAATTGCTGCTACCATCTGGTCACCCATAGATACTTTATTAAGAGTTTTAATTCTCTTACAGGTGATATGAAAGCTTGTGTTTGTCAGAATATTGAATCTGATTTTCCCCCTTCTCTTTTCTGGTATGGGAGCATTCAAAACCAATCACAGAGTGTTTTTCTTCTCTGCTTTAGATATTACTGGTGCCTGCTGAAAAGAATACAGAAACTCCAACAAAGAAGTTAATTCTTAACTTTTCCTTTTTCCTCAGTTTTAATCACTATCAGGTACGTATGTGTTAGCTTTATAGTTTGTAGTCCTTAACAATTGATAAGAATTTAAATTAAATTGACAAGAAATGCCAAACAAATATAGTTTTTCAGGAGTTACTGTGGTGTTGCTGAAGAATTTTAAGAACTTTAAAAGTACTTTACTTCAAAATAGAAAGATCTTGTAACATTTTAAATCTTGGTAAACTCCAGCATAAGAGAGGGTCCTAATGAAGCTGAGATGGGAAGTACATGTATAGTGGATCAGAAAGTGTCCCTAAAAGGAAATATTTTTCATTTCTCCAAATACATTTGCTTTTCCATTTCTGTATTATGATACTCTCTGGCTCTCAGATCAACACAGTACTGTTGTTTGGAGACTACTGGCTCTCAATACCAGGAGTCTCCAAAATCCATTCAATTCTTTGTGGATCCATACAGGATACATGTACGTCTTTGCACACTGTGATTTATCTTGTAAAGTATATGGCTGGGTATGGAGAGACTTCTTTCGACTTACCTAGTCATAGATTCCAGAATCTTTGAATTCATTCTAATAGCTTCTAAGATAAAACGAGAGAACACCTCAATCAAAAGAGAGGATCCCTCAATCAGGATGAAGTTAGGAGAAAATTTCAGGTGAGGTGGAGTATAAGTAGTAACGCATAAAACTTTTTTTTTGCCTACTGACGCTGCTGTCCTTGTACCTCCCATGTACTTTACTTATTTGACTTTGGTCAGACAAGAAGTTTACTGTTTAGTCTAAATTCACTTCCTCAGCTCACTTTATAGTCAGAGGGAAAAGATAAATACTTCCCAAAGAGTTACTGATCCCATCCACTCTCAAAATCTATTTAAATATTAAATGTTCTTTTTCTTTCCACTTAGATTTACAGAGAAATTTGTTGGTAAAACTATTCAGGCTGTAACTGGTGAAATATGATGTGATAAAAATATCAGGAACAGCAGATTTTTCTTCAGGGACTTTATGAAATTAACATCTTTATTTGAAAGTAAAACAGTTCAACTAGGAATTTTAAAAAATTGGAATAACTGTCTATACTGAACTTATAAAATCACAGAAATATCTCTACTACTTTATGTATTGTCAGTATATAGCATTAACATAATGTAGATTAAGAATTTTCTGTAAAGAATGCTTGCAACAAACTCTTGCAAATAAACAGAATCACTTCAATGTCCATGATTCAGTTATGTATGTCATATTTGCTTTTTTCTTGAGTCTCAAGCACTAAAGACAATAATTATAAAGATACTATAAAGATACTGTAAAGATAATTATCTAATTTTTCATGTCTTTTACAGTGTCATGAAATACACAGCATCACATAAACTGTGATTTCAGTTTAACAAGGAGGAAATTGCTATATTAAGAAAAGAAAACCACTTGGGTGGGTGAGAAAAAACAAATAGAATGGAATGAAACAAAATGCAGACATATTTTGTAAATTCTTCTATTTCTTGTAAAGAAACAGTCCCTGAAGACTTATGCTTCTAAACATTTATATACTCTTAAGGAGAGGCAATCTCTGAAACTGAGTTACATCAATAAGAAGAAAATGACTTATTCACATAGACTCTTCAATGAAAATAAAAGAATGAAAATTAAAAGATTCCAACAATCTCTTAAAAAAAACAGGATCTGTTCTCTTGTATCTAAGTGCACATTTCTGTGCTGATATTTAAAACTGACCTCTTCCTATTCAAAACCCTTAATGCCTATTATTCTTCTGTTTTTTAAAAGGGAGTTCCAGGGACAATCATGAGTGTCTGAGGTAAGATTGTCTGAAGGTGGAGAGTGACTTGGATACCAATAACTGAAATATGTGCAAATTAATACCTTGTGGCTGTGGGAAGAGATTAAGATAAGCAGGAAATGCTAGAAGCCATTAATAAAGCTATTGAAATGAATTGTTAAAACAGTTGTTACAAACTGGAATAAATGAGGCACAGATGCTTAAACTGAAAGGACAAGAGAAAAAAACACCTCACACGTTTCAGAATCTGTTTGCTGGCTGCCTTCTGAGTATTTGTATCAGAATTCTCTGCAAATCAAAATAAATACATAACTTGTATATCTGTATTCCTACAGTGCTTTGAAATTCCCTTTCCCCTTTTTTTTTGTTTTTTTTTCCTGAAAAAAGAAAGAGTTTTTATCATTTGGAATTCTGGGAAGGAATGAAGTTCCATCCAAAACTTCCAAGTTACCAGAAACTGTGTGCAGTTTGGGCCACCTTAATATAAGACGGATATAAAGGTATTAGAGTCCATCAGGAAGATAACCAAGATGGTGAAGGGCCTTAAGGGGAAGATGTATGAGGAGCAGCTGAGTTCACTAGGTTTGTTATCCCTGGAGAAGAGGAGACTGAGGGGACACCTCAGTGCTGTCTTCAGCTTCCTTATGAGGGGAAGAGGGAGAGCAGAAACTGATCTCTTCTCTGAGGTGACCAGTGACAAGACAAGAATGGCCTGGTGTTGTGTCAGGGGAGGTTTAGGTTGGATATCAGGAAAGGGTTCTTCCTCAGAGGGTGGCTGGCCACTGAAATGGGCTCTCCAGGGCAGTGGTCACAGCACCAGCCTGACAGAGGTCAAGAAGTGTTTGGACAATGCTCGCAGACACATGGTGTGGCTCTTGTGGTGTGCTGTGCAGGGCCAGAAGTTGGACTTGATGATCATTAAGAGTCCCTTCCAATTCAGGATATTCTATGACTCTGTGATAAAGAGGGGGATAGGAAAATTGTTTCCTTAGGGAAACAGTACTTACAGCTGTTACTGTTCATTACTCGATTTTTGATGAACAGTTGTTGAAAGGAACATTTATAATATTAAGGACAGTATGTGACCTAGCTGCAGAGGGAAACTAATCCTGTAAGCAGCAACTCAGAGTTGACTGATGTAGTCCATCTGTTGAAAAATCACACCTAATTGGCAGCTTCTGTATCTGCTGTAACAGTTTGACACAAGCAGTGAATTTGCTCCAGAAGTATGACTTGTCTTTTGCCAAGATAGAAGAGCTTTTAAGTCTTAATAGCTCTTTCTGTCTTGCTTTCTGCAAATGTGACTGCAGCCCTGTTGTGAGTTGCATTAACAGAAGCATTAATGCATTAACATCTTGTATCTATTTAGTATTTAGTGGCATCTTTCGGTCTGAGGAACCTACATTTTTATTATGGTGAGGAAAGCTGGCAAAACTGGTGTGTAAATGTTATCCTACCAATTTCCTAGTTAAGGTAGTTGTTACAGCCAATCAAGAATCATGTTTTAAATTACATGACATTTTAAAATTATGTGACATAATAAATATCTTAGTAAACATATTGTACTCTAGGCATTTAGTAAAAAGCTAGTTACTGCTGTGAATGGATTCATCCTTTACTTACTGAAGGTAAAATCAGTATCTCAATATCTCTAGTAATTTCTGCCGAAATATACTGAAAAAAAAAAATAGGTAATCCTTGATAATATGTGATTTGTAAAACCTCAAGCTTTTGTCAAGAGTATTCCATGGCTATAAATATGTGTAGATACTTGAGCTGGAAAAAGCTTATGTTTTAACAGCAATAAGTCAAAATATTAAAAGGAAATACCCTATTTCTACCTGAAAAAGGGGCATCTGTATCAAAAAAGTTATAGTCAGCTCAAAAAAAAAAAAAAAAAGCAGCCAAATATTCATTACTTTAATCAAATACCCTGAAAGGATTACACATTACCAGCAAAACTTTGGCTTACCAGATCCATTGCTGCTCACTTCAGTTAGTTCTTCATCATCATCATCACTATCACAGTTTAATGGCTGAAAAGCTGTTTCTGACTCTGTGTCTACTTGATGAGCATCTGGCTCTTGCTCAGCAAAGCTTCGCAAGGCCACAAGGCGATGATGTATTGCTGCATACAGGTGTTCAGTGTCTTTTGAGCTTGCCTGCAGAACATAAAATGTACACAGTCCAACTGAAAAAAAATCTCAGTTTTTAAAATTTCATTAAAAAAATAATGAAAGAGTTGTATTTTGTCCTTTCTAATCAAAATTATCAACTTAAGATTCACACTTAATAATTAACATCCAAGTATTAATGTAAATACAAATAATGTGAAGTTTCTTTATATGGTCTGAACTTTATATGCAGCTGTTGATTATCTTCTCTGTAGTTACAAGAAACATAAGCTTAAAAATTACTTTCCCTGAAGAACAGCTCAGTTTGTATGGAGTACCTGATATTTCAGATGATTCCTGAGTTTGATTCTACAAGTGAGAATGCACTGACATGTTAATATGTACAGTCGCCAGGTGGATACTGCATGTACAGGGATGGGTACCATCCTCCTCAGTGACTGCAGAAGCAGCTTCCTGCAACCCTTGCCACACCCATATAGATCTCATATATCGTGATTTCCTCATACATGTCTATTTTTACTGCCCAGTAGTGACAAGAAAAATTTACAAAATGTGAATTACACACTCTATGAAAACAGTGCAGCACCCCTGGAAATCAGGACATTCATAATTCTCACATGCAGAACAGCAGTCCAGCACAGCCATAGGTAAGTCAGTCCCTGTCAGGAAGTGACAGACTTAACAGCCCCATACACAGTGTATGGTGCTTTGCTTGTGTGTGACACGTGATACTTCCTGGAAATTATGATTTATTTTTCTTTCCCAGCAAGCTGAATCCTTCCTAGAAAGATCTACTGGGGAAACTGTAAACATCCTTAAACTCATTTGGATGCTTTCACTTCTCAACTTGGGACGTATGTGCTATTTATTTGCAAGTCCAGGATTTTTCCACCTCCAAGTTAGCCCTTATTGGAGAAAACAAGGGTTCCCAAGACTATTGTCTTGTCTTACACACAGTGATATTGAAACTCCGTATGCCCTCAAGTGAGAAATGGAGGTCCTACGCTGGATGGATTCATTGCAAGTGCTGTGTTGAGAACTATGGCAGAAAGCTGCTGCCTTTTACCAGAGTAACTTACAAAATTGCAACTACCTGTGAAGAAATTGTCAGTGTATTGCTCCATTAAAAAAGAGCTATTACTGCATATTACTGGAATGATAGCCATTCCATTGGTGGTATGTGAACCATAGTCTGGAAATGTCTGTCTTAAGGCCAGATCATATCATCACACCTGTTGCTTTGAAATACCATTCTAATGCATTCCATAATAAAAGCCATGTAACATCTAAGCTGAGTATAGATATGATATATGAGATAGTGATAGAGCATGAACGCCATTTGCTAAAACTAAGCTTCAGCAACCCTTCAGAATTCTAAATGAGGTGGGGTTTTGGGTGGACCTGTTGTCTCCTACTTACCTGAGTTAGAAATACTTGAACAGAATGGTCCTCTTGATCTGTTGCAGTGAAGCACAGGCTCTTTCTGTTTGCTCTTTTTATAACCATTTGTTCCCAGAGTTGGGTGTTGAGAATCAGTCTCAAGCTACCTTGATTTCGCATAACTAAAATAAGAAGGTTAATATGATAAGCTGCAGCTGTTTTCTCCAGCACTTGTAAACAACTAATATTTTCAACAATTATTATTTTTAATTTGGTCTAAAACCCTGATATAGTGATATTTTTATCTTTTTAATATCCAAATATGTTAGTTTCTTTCAACATGTCTGGCACACACAGAAAATAATCTGCTGCAACTGTTCAGTACAGTACAAAAAAGTGACAGCACAGTAAGAACATTCCAAAAGAGTCTTGAAATAATGTTGCTGAAAAAGCAGATCTAACAAAGAGCAAACTGTTAGACTGGTGACAGCTGAAGGCACTGTGCAGCAGAGAAGTACTCAGAACCTAACAATATATTTGAGTCCAGTTCCTCAGTCTGTTACACAGAGAACTTTATAAGGTAAAAAGATTCTCAGCAACTTGACTTAAATATAACAATATTCTCAGATTAAAATGTTCTAAAATAAACACTGGTCAACAATAGGACAAGTTATTTGGCGTTTTCTGTATGGGGTATTTCATTATTTAATTCGTACTTAGCCTTGACTGCAACATTCCATGCTTATTGCTAGAAGTGTCATTAAGCCTCAGGGATCCTCTGCCTCTTTCAGTCCAGGTTAAAGAAAGCTTATTAAATACAAAGAGCTTGCAGTTTATCTGAAAGAGAAATACATGATAAAAACTGCCAGTCAATGCTAGTTTTATTTGCTCTAAGACTTTATGGTCATAAAACTTATGATATGGCTTTTAATACATTCATATGCATGTGGACAAAAGTAGATACATAGATATATAACCATTATTATTCAAAATAAAATGGCTCCTGGATCTGTGCTAAACTCTCTTCTCATCATAGAAAACATTCAGCATAAATCCCAGTTTATTTTTTCAATGATTTCATCTTCATTAGCTCTTCTTCATCTATGATATCCACCAGCATAGCTAAATTTGTTGCAAAAGTTGTACAACCTTACTCCCTCACCCATTACAAATTTTATGCAGCCCAGAATGCCAGCACTGCTACTAGAAGACTACTACTCCAAAGACAGTAAAACTTCTGTGTTCTGCCAAGACAGTGGAATTAATCAAAGATAATATAATGTTAAGAATTTTAAAATCATAATTGCTATTTTCTGAGAAAATAATATTTTGAAGAAAAGGGCAAGATATCTCCTGCCAGGTTGGAAAGATAATTGCTATTTTAGCTGAACTACAGAACAAATTACTTTAGTAACACACTGCTTTTTTTCCCAAAAAAAGTTTTTTCATAAACCCTATCTTTACTCAAATCACTTCCAGTTCTAAGCTTCTGGTTACAGCTATTATACTGTATAGATACTTATAAAGTACCACTGAAATAGTCACTTACTGAAAGGGTCTACAAAATGAACAAATATAATATGAAAAATAAAGTAGCAACTTAGAGAAAAAGGGGTTAGCTGAGGCATAGCTTTAAAAAAGTGAAAATTTAAAATATAAGTTGAAGGTATTTTCAGATTTCTGCATCTGCAACAGATTTAGATGTTCTTTTCAACAACAAAACTATTCATCATCAAGGTTTTATGATACACACACCTGCAATACATTGTGTTCTGCTTCTTCTCCAGTTATAACTTCAACTTTATCTAAAAGGATTTTCTCCACTGGCTTAGAAATACAAGCAGCTGCTGATTCAAGTAGTGTTGCATTCCTCAACAGAGCTCTTTCTGTAGGGGGAAAAAATAGAAATTCTTTCTATACATGGAATATTTCAGGAATATTTTTAGGATAACAAAACTAGTACACAGGCTGTGACCACAGTAATACCTGTGGCACTGACATTGTTTAGTGTTATTAATAAGTTTTTGGCCAAAGGAACAAATGAAAAGGCAGGAATACAAAATACCTCACTAAAAAGGCTCATACAGAATTGAACAGGGCTGTTCATAGTTGCAGAGGTTTGTCCCAAGGGACAAACAGAAACATGCAGAAACAAAGCCTAAATATTTAGCAGCTTATTTTCCAAATTAAACTCATCTGATATATTGTTATACCGAGTATACATACCCCAATATTAGAATAGTGACATATATACAATGAATATTTGTCAAGAGCACAGGACAAGCTTTGAAAGGAGCAACATTGTTACAAAGCTCTGTATCTTTGCATAACTATACACATGTTCTGAAGGCCTTATTTTTATAATTCTTTACTTGTAAGAATATACATAGATCATAAATCATAAATCACAGGATTTAATACATCTTTATTAGTGGAGTGCAAAATTTGTCAAGAAGGCTCACAATAGGGGCCTGTTGGGGACTCCATCATAGCCTACATTTACATGTCTTGCTTAGTAGAAAATCTCACACTGGAATCACAAACAAGCCCTGAAATATGTCTGTATAGAACTTTCAGTCCCACAATTATGATCCAAAATAACAAAGCAATTTATATAAGAATTTGAAAAATGCAAGCAGCAGACAGTCTAAAATTGTAATTCAACAATGTGGTCCACAAGGCATTCATAAAGGTTCCTGCATTTTTTCTTCAAGCAATAAATAATAATCTGAATTAAATAATGATACTCTGTAATATTTTCTTGATTAATTCAGATCATGCTTTCTGAAGTTAGTCTAGTTCACATGTCATAAACCAAACTGTAGCTGCTTTTTGAATATAGATTTTGACACATACTCTAAGCCTACTCATGACTGGATAGTTTGAGAATAGATGAAAATTATTGACCACCACTCATTTGACATCCTCTAAAATACAGTGAAACATAATAATAGAGGTAACTGTGCTTGTTTGCTGAGTATACTTACTTGTTTGTGGCCCAACATGAGCAGATCCTGTGGAGATGGATGTTATTTCTCCTTTGTGTGGATCAGCTTCATTACACGACTTGAGATGCCTCTCAGGACTCTAGAAAAACACACAGGAAACAAGAATTCCTATTTAAAAAATAGTTACATTACTTTCTATCAAACAGAACACTGAATCATTTAATGCATGCTAGGCTGATGATCAGTAATTTTAATAGCTTCAGAGTAAAAACTACCTTAGAAACTACCCAATTTCAGTCTCTACAGAAAATAATATTATTATCATAGAATCAGTACATACATTCTTCCTCTGAGAAGAATGACATCTTTGAGTGGATCCTGGACTAGTATTTAAATCCACTGAAGAACTTAGATGTCAAGGTACTGGTTTGTTTCCAGTTCAAGCCCTAGGTCCCAGAAGAGTAGTTTAAAACTCTTAGACACCACAAACTTGACCTCAGAGGACTGGAAACTTTATATAACCTTCAGTTTTGCAGATAAATTTTCTCAGCCATGTCTAAATAAATGCTTGCGGCTCCTGAAAATGCTCAGTGGCTCAACTGATACCTTATAAATAAATCTTGGCCAGAAGTCATAGCCCAAACCGATGGTTGCCAAGCCTTTTATCCGGCATTTGAGCACAGTTTTTATCCTACTTCAACTGAAAACTGAATTTCAGTTCCATTTTCAATGGTGTGCTCCTCAGCTTGGGAACCATTCTTTTGTCCTAGAGTCCTTCAGGACTTAAGCTGCCTCACAAGCATGCACAATACGCATTAACATGGACACTAGGATTGGTATCCAATTTTTCCCTTATACTTACTTATCACAGAATCACAGACTGGTTTGGATTGAAAGAGACCTTAAAGATCATCTGGTTCCAACCTCTCTGCCATGGGAAGGGACAGCTTTATTAGACCAGGTTGCTCAGAGCCCCATCCAGCCTGGCCTTGGATGGTCACCCTTGCTGACCTCCAAGGATGGGGCATCCACAGCATTTCTAGGCAATGTTTTCCTGTGGTCTTGCCACCCTCAAAGAGAATAATTTCTTCCTAATGTTGAACCTAAACCTACTGTCCTTCACTTTGAAGCCATTTCCCATTGTCCTGTCACTCTGTGCTCCTGTAAACAGTCTCTCTTCACCTTACTTGTAGGCTCCCTTCAGGTATCCTACAGTTACGATGGAAGTTATCAGAGCAGTAGGAGCCACATTCTTTTATCTTACATTGTGGGTGTTACACTTTCTATGGAATAGACAAAAAACTCTTTTTCAAGTCAAAAGTCACATCTTTGAAAGGAGTAGGACCTCAAAAAAAATCAATATCTGAAAAAGTAATTACGCTCTTAAGTACACTGACCTTGATAAAAAGTCTGCCAGCATGTGCAGATCCAACCAAAACTCTTTCAACCATGTTTTCCCCAAAGACAAAATCAGAATTGCTGCTGTTTTGTACACTTCTTTCTTTGAGCAACTGACTTCTGTGGGAACAAAATAACGTAAGAATGTGATTTGGAACTATTCATGGCACTTTAAAGATTCACCACATCTAACATTAAAGAAAAACAAAAATGTAATCACGTAAGGAATCAGACAAATTCTTTAAGAGAATCTGAGAATATTCTCTATGGGACATTTCACAAAAGCAACAGAGTATCACACCATATTTCATTAAGATTATTGAGGATATTCCTTAAGAACAAAGAACAAGCAGCAAAACAACATGCCACTTCTCCTCAGGGAAGTGTCTTACTCCAGAAATCTTAATGAATTACTTTTGTTTCCGTTTCATTTTGCTCCTCCAAGGGACTACTAACAGTTAACAGCTATCCTTCCAAGTTCCTGCAGCTCCAGTACTTTGCAGAATGATGTACACTCTGGTGCCTTACAGGGACTCCTTGGTCATCCTCCTTACATCTTGGAAGGGCAGGGAGGCAATGTATTCACATACACACAAAAATACTGAAAAAATGTATAGATATGATAGCAGATTGCTTAAGATGAGGTATAAGTAAAACAGGAAAGTAAAGTGTTTCCATTTTTCAATTAATTGTTCCATAGATATAATTATAAAATGAGACAAGAACTCGAGATTTGCAATCCTTTGGTACTGGCCAAATGTATTTTAGAGATTACATTCAAGAATATTATATACAAGTAGAATTGTGATTTGACCTGCTAATTATGTAGCCACTTTAAATTACCAAATTTCATTTTTTGTAAAAGTCACTAGAAAAGTCCTTGTAAACTCCTGTATGTGGAAGTTGTTCCTGCTGCTGCTGTTTTGGTTGTTCCTGTTGTTCCTGCTGCTGGTTTGGTTTTGGTTTTGCTTTGTTTAGGGTTTTTGGGTTTTTTTTTACAAAAGGGGTAATAGGTTGTTTATGCTTTCTGTAGAGTTTAATCCTGCATGTCTTGCTGGCATAGGCAAAACCATGCAAGTTCTTTTCACTTTTTGTTCCAGAAGGATGACTTGGCAGGAAGGCAACCTGATACTGTGTCACAAACTGCATACTTCAGCACCACTTCTGTTTCACCCTTGGGAGGGCTTAACATATGTCATGTAGAAGATATTCCTGTTAATTAACTCGGTTTGTTGGCAGAATTTTGATAATTGCCTCTAAAACACAGTTTCTCTGTTCACAACTACAGTGTGCTTGAAATCTCTTCAAGAATGAAGGGCTTACAGAGTACTACCTCTCTCAATCTTACACTTAATGAGAAAAATATTCCTTAGCATTCTTGTGCTTGATGTGTTGCTAAGACGAGGGGCAAAACAGAGAAATCAGAAAATACTTGTCTTTTCAGTCTTGAAAGCCTCTATGCATGTTTTGGGCCATGAACAGGGAATCTGTAGTTCATGTGTGTTAATGAGTTTTTTATCCTTAAACACAGCCTTCACTAAAATTCACTGGAATTTAACCAATTTTCGTAGTGACATTTCAGCTACTACTTCTAGGTTGCTCCAAGGACAGCTTAAGGACAACACCCCAAAAGAATTAGAGGCTTATTTCTAAGAAAAAATGCGGGAAATAGTTTTGATTATATTCAGAAATGTAAGAAAAATTAATCACTACATGATCTTTCTTTTAAGAGAAAGTTTACTGGAAGTGCCAGCCTTAAAATGTTATTAAAACCTCAACAGCCTTATGTTGCTGCATGGCAAGAACAAAGTGTTCTTTCCAGGGATGCACTGTCAGGGACACAAAGTGTCCTTGCCCCAGGGATGGCATTGTCATGGAGATACAAAACACAGTCACTGATATCAGGGAATGATCACTAACAAGGAACAACCAGAGGAGAAATATGGATAAAGCACTCACATGGGATTATGAGGGGGGAATAGATTCAGGTGCTGGCCTTCTCAGACTGTCCAAAAAGGTTTCAGTAGCGGCCAGTTCCAGTAATGGCCTCAAACCCTTTCAGTTTTCCAAGAAAATCCTTGTGCAACGTTGACTTGATGTGATTGCAAGCCTGTGTTTTCCTACTGTTGTATTTCTGCCACTTATGACACAAGCTTTCCAAGCTTTTAATCAGAATCAAGAAACTGAAATTTTTTCCTTTCCAGTTCATTATTATAGTCAAGCCAGGAAATGAAAATGAGTGGCTTCATGGAACATGGACAGCTGCAGCAACTGCAGTTGGATAACAAGATATTTTCACTCATCTTTCATATGATTCATATGAATCATATAATTGAGACATGAAGAAGTGGAAGAGGAGCAAAAGTGAGAGAGATGTCTGCAGGCGAAGCAATCCCTGCTGTTACAGCTCTCTCATTTTATTTTATAAATATCCCTTGATTGAAAGCTAAAAGCAAACCTAAAAAGTTGTTTTCTTAGCAATGAGGAGGTCTGGCTGCAATGTTCATTTACTGTTCAGCATGTATGCGGAGTCTAATAACGTAATTTTCTTATTATTGATGAGAAAACAGCTATGCCAGAAGGATTTTACCAAAGTATTTTTACAGCATCAGTCACTTAATGTGGATCTGAAGAATGGCACTTACATCCTCCTGCAATCTCAGAAGTGTAGAAAGCACCTAGCTGTATTTAAATTAGTTTTCAACTATCAAAGAAACCAACATTTACCATGATTGTGATAGAACTAGTATTTGATATATAGAATTTATGAGGCACAAACACTCCAGGCAGGGTGTTTGTGGAAAAAAAAGACAAGGGAAAGAAATACCATAAGTACCTTTAAGTTAACTTGTTGGCACTGAATCACTGTGTTGCATTTCTCTATTCACAAGAGAAAGTCATTCACCAGTCATTTCCTAGATATTGTGCAGCTAACAGAAGGTAAATAAATTTAAAGTATCAACAGCAACTGATTTAGGTTTTCAAATACATGTATTACCATCATTCAGATTCTGCTAAAAAACCACTGTGCTTTGTGGCTACATGTTGTCCTCAGAGGGCATCACAACAGCATTAAATGTTGCTGTTAGTTTTTCCAAAATCACAGTGAGCATCGTCCCTTTCTTTTTGTTCTTTTTGTTGATAAGGATTAAGAATATAAGTTGTTTGTGCATCTAAAAATCCCTTGCCTCCTCAGAACCTTGGCACTGTGCATCCCAACTTTTATCTGTGGTCCATCTAGCCCTGTAGAAGGCTAGCACAGACTCATTTGCAATTGACATTTTCTATGCCCTCCTTGGGTAGGAGTGGAATTAGGCAACATTATAAATCTATTATCTGTGGTCCTAGCAATTTTGAATAGTCATTCTCTTATCAAAAGTGATACCAGGTGTATTCCTGATGCTTATGACTTCCACGTAAATAAACCTCATCTACATCAGCAAGCAGTATTAATACCACAAGACAACCAGAGACCTAGAGTTCTCCTGAGTCAGTCCCCAGAGAGGGAGCTAATAGCCTACTTTTGCCCCAGTATGACTTCTCAGTGCTGACTTTGAAACCTCTCTGTTTCCCAAGCAAAACCTTGTGCGAAGTTGAATATATGACCAGAAGCCAGTGTTTTCTTGGCATTGTACTTCTGCCACTTATGACACAAGCTTTCTTAGTCAGATTCTGATTATCTCCAAGAATGGGGTTCTTTCCATCACATACAGTGTCAAGAGGATGGGGAAACATCCTAGTGCAAGGATGTCAGCTTCCTCACAGAAATTCTGAAGTCTGTCCTGCACAAAATGCTAGCCTAACACAGTCACCACAGATGACTTTTTGTGCCAGAAATTCTACTTTGTGAATGAAAGTAGAGCATCAATGGCAGCATTCAACTGGTCCTCCAAATCAATCCCGTATTTTTTTCTTTATGCCTCATGTCCAATACGCTAAGATATACTGGTAACTCCTCAAAAGAATGATATTTCCTGAGTTTCTCTGCACCTTTTTGATGAGATGCAGCAGACATGCAGTCAAAAGAAAGATGACAAACCAAAACAGTTTCCAGCTTGGTTGCTAGTGAGAAACCATCTGTCCTGCAGAGATTAACTGCAGTTAGGAGTCAATTTTTTTATGGCATATGAAGCTCAGGTAGTAGACACAAATCTTTGCACCAAACACACCACTGAGCCCTGTGTGGGTGCAGATAGGATGGGCTTAGTACCATGTTAGACATAGATGATGGAAAGGCATGCCATCAGCCAAGTGACAAGATGATGTAGAAATATAATAAAATCTTACTGTGTTTTTTGAGAGCTGGAAAGATTCATGGTAGTAGATGACCCCACTGCAGTTTTGGAATTTAATGAATTCTCAGCTGATGAATAAGAGCTGTCTTCAGATATCTAGAAATAATAAAATCAAATGGATTAATTAGAGATAGTATATTTTCTGCTATTAACAGATCTGCTAGAATCCAGAGTCACTAAGGTATATAGATAGACAGAGAGATACAGATATAGATAATAGATGTGGTAGTTGGCAGAGCTTCCTCCAACTGTGTACTAAGCCAGTGCCCTCAATTTAAATACTAAAATCTCACTTTCTAAATAAACAAAATCCAGAACACCCAAAGCTGATTTTCCCACAGGACCCTGATATCAGAAACATAAGACAGGTTGCAGAGAAGAGATGATTTTTCAAACGCAGTCAGCATGAGTTTAACATTTCACACCACATCAGTGATACATCAATTCCACTGAAACTTACATGGGAACTTTCCTGAAAATCACGCAGTGGAATAATTAATTGCTTTAAAACAGCACTGGTTTGTTTCGTGTTTGTTTGGGTTTTTTTTTTTCCTTAATTTGAGCTCCAGTAAAATTATTTTTCTTTTTACCTGAACACATGCTTCTTTCTTAGTCAATAGAGATACTACAGGAATTTCAGGACAGGTCAGGGCTTGTGGGGGCTGTAAAGTGGCAGGTCTAATGACATTCCACAATTGACTTGGTGACAAGGATCCTTGCAAAATATAAAGACAAAATATTTAAACATATACTTTTTCTTCACATCTAATTCATACCTATATGTCTTGTCTCTTAACTGAAAGTTTCTAAACATTTTTAAATAACATTTACTGTTGTTTACTTGCTTCATATTCCGAAAAATTCTGATGGTTTCTAAAATACACAACTCTGAAGTGAAACCAATGTGTTATCCTATCAGGATAAAAACAGTCATGTGCTATGTACATAAACATTCTTATTTGTATTATAAAATATATTTGTATTTATCTATTTTAGTATCTCTTTATCCTTTTATTGTTTTGTTTTGGATATGTCTTCTGGCATTTCAGATTTAATTCTGTATCTTCAGATGCCGAGAGGTTTTTCCATTGCCTTCTCCAGGAGCAGAGGTATTCAGTTAGAAATGTGGAATTTCACATTTCAATATTCAGTCCACTCAGGAAATTAGCAGTCAGAGCAGATGCTCAGACCAGGGTTCACAGGACATTTACACTGTCAAACAAGTAAGTTATGAGCTGCATAAAGATACCTAGCCTATCAATCAGTACAGAAAAGAGTTGTTCTTTTCTTGTCTTACATATCTCTAAAGAATGTCTTTGTGGAACTACAGTGAATAAATATTACATTGACAGTTACCTTCTCTTGTAGTTTTGATGATGTCAGGATTTCTTTGAAGAAGAGCTGAGGTCATGAATATGTTATTCTTCTTTACTACAGAAAAGGAATTTAAAATTGAATTATGAGTAAACCCAAATTTTAACCATTAATTAGTATTTCTGTAAACCCTTCCATGTTTTGGTAGTACCTGAGCAACATTCCAACATACCCATCCAAAAAGATCTCCAAGATAACTGTTACTGTCTCAGTTTTTACAGGTGGGCAGATTTTTCCACAGTCTTTTGGATATTAATGAATGTTTTAAATGCAAAATCTTTCTTCATCTTTTAAAACTAGGTGTTCCTGTTTTGTATAAACATTGAAATACCAATGCTATCTGGTCGAGTTTTAGGCATTTTTAAGATGATTAACTGAGGCCCAAATTCATGGGAATAAATAAATAAATGTACCTGTCCTGTTCTGCTAAAAAGGCCTTCATAACTTACTAGAATGATGCAGGTGCACTATTGATGCTTTCACTGTTTTAGTAAAGATATCAAACACCAGTGAGAAGGTGATGGCAACCCTGTTGTAGAAGCCTAGGAAGTAAGGGTGGCAATGTGTATGTCACTGATATCTGAATAGCTGTGGAGCCAGCCAAGGACTTTCACTGTGAGAAAGTGCAGGATGTGGCTGGAGAAGGGGCCACAGAGAGGTAGGGCAGCACTCTTCCAGGACACCCGTAAGCACAGCAGGAATGACGCCAAGATGTGGGCATGGACTGTGGGGGCGTCAAGACCACCTAAGACCCCCAAAGCCTCTGATCCATTTCCAGAAAGAATGAACTGCACATGAGAACTGATTTGCATAAAAAGAGAGAAACTTATTTCCAGGGTGGGAAAACCCTTTTATATAAAGGTACCCCCATGAAGCCAGAGTGTGTGCCCCAGGATCCTGCACACGCCTTCAGCCAGACTGATGCTGATGCTGGAACCAAGACTGGTGATCTCTTTTTCTCTCTTTCTTGCTTTCTCTCTTCTCTTTAGTCCTCTTTAATTCTCTCGCTTCCCTTTCACCTTACCCCCTCATCCAAAATCCACCTCCATGTGCTTATAATAGGAAATCAGGACTTATAACCAGTTTTCATGCCAAGTGTGTCATTTACCAGTAAAACTTTTTAAGCTTTTGCAGGACCTCTGACTTCTCTCATTCCTTTCCACCATGACCACCTACAAATCTTGGGTGCTGTCTTCCCCTTAAGGGTGGGATGCCACACATGTACCATGTCCTGTGAAATGGCACAACTGATAACACTACATAAAACCACCAATTTTTCATTCCAAGAGCATGTTTTGCTGCTATTAAAATGCTGTGAACTCTTATGATTGTTTAGAAATCACCAGCATCTGTCAAGAACCTGTCTCTGGTAAGAGATGTAGGCTAGGATTTGAGATTACTCCATTGTTCCTGTTAGTGCTAGGAGTGAGGATATTCCTTGTGTCCCTGGTTAGGTGGAAGACAGTTCTTAGGCTAGAAAATTATATTCCCGTAGGAACCATCACCATTATATTGCAAGCAAATTATTAATGTAATTACTGTAACTTCATCTTGTTTTTTGAAGTATAATTTATATCACACTCTGTAAATGCATGGTTTTAAATTACTCAGATTCCACCCCTGTGCCAGAGGATTCTGTTAATCTCATCTTCTGTTCAACTGCAACAAAACCTCCTTCCAAAACACTCCTTTCTCCCATCTAAATACCAGACTAGTCCAACACAATTGCAGAAAAAGCATTTCTGCACACATCTTTATTTTAGCTAATACCTTCTTTTCTACAGGAATATTTGTTTTTATTTACCTGTCTGGGAGGGAGGAAAACTTGGAAGGATGTTAAACGAAGATGATCTCCCTCTTTTCTGTGTGAGAGCTGTATCTAAAAGAATAAAAGACTGAAATTATCACTTGTTTGGAGAATAAAAAAGACCTGTTTTAGGTTATCCAGGCTGATGTCATGCTTTCATTGACTGTAGAATAAATTACTATCTGCTACCCACCATTTTTTGAAGCAGACTAGGTTATGTCTATGCTGCTGATCCCAGGAGGATTCTGAGGCCAAGCAGCACAGCCTGGCTCAGGTACACAGTTAATCTTCTCTGTAACAGCTCTGTCCTAGAGACTGCCAGGTGGAAATGTTCAAAACAGAGACAGACAGTGACCTGTGACTTAAACAGTGTGGGCAGGCAAGAGGGAAAACACTCCAGCTTCTTCCTGCACTCTAATTCTTCTGGTATAGGCATGCCCTTAAATTCCTAGCATATCTATCCTAGTTTAACTTTCAGAGTAAACCAAACTTAGCCTATCTTAAGTCCTCTTAGGTACATTCAGATGTAATTAAAACAAAATGCACTGTACATTTATTAATGCCTGAATTCAAAAGTACCTTTCTGGTACCATCCATATGTTAAATAAAGATTGTAAAAAACAGATCAGTCCTTCTGCACAGTAGCCTCTGTGATTTGTGTTCTTTTCCCATGGAAACAATACGCAGTCCTTAATGGACCTTCTCAGTCAGCTCTTGGCTGGAAGGAAGGGCCCTTCCTGGAAACTGCTTTACATTTTTAAGGATTGCCCAGGAAACACTGATCTCTTCCACAAGCCAGGGAGGTAATTCCTTTCTTGACTTCATCCTCCCTTGACTGTGTGAGCAGCTCAAGAAAATGATACAAAATTTATATATTTTCCACTACTTTTTGTAGAATTATGTAAGTATGGAAAAAATAATGCATTTTTAATTTAAAAGGTATTTATTGGAAGTTACCAGGAAGTATTAATGTTTAAGTTTTCATGACTTTCAGCATGCCTATAATGCAGAAACATTTCTTAGATGGGGGAATTCATTCTTTTCTTTACCAGATGAAAATACAGAACTCCAATTAAAACATGACTGGAAGTAAATGTCATACCAGTGCTAGACTGAGAGTCAGACTTCTGGAAAGTCAAAGATGATGATCTTGCACGTTTTCTGGAACAGCTAATGAAATCTAGAGAAAAGAAAATATAATGTAATTGGCAGGAAGTATCAGTACGATGCTATAATACTGAATTAAAACCTGAACAAAATAAGTTCTAGGAGGGACTTACAGGTTTAAGGCAATACCTAAGATCTAGAGGGCTTTGAAATCTCAGTCACCACCTGTTACAAAGCCCTGGGGAGTCTTCTCTGTGTCTACTAAGTTCAGGGAACATAAAGAAAGCACTTAGGATCAGTTCATAGCCCATGGACTTAACAGGAATGAGGAGCTAGATTGTAACACTACCCAAGCAAATATAAAAAGGCAGTTAGGAGTTCAGGCTTGGTCAATTTTCAGGGCTTCTGGAGCTTGTCTTTCTGGTAAATATGGGAAGTAAGATGGAAGAACTCTTGAGGGAAGACAGGGACATATATGTTAGGACAGAGTAGGTGGCTCTACAACCCACAAAATCTTAGTCTGGTAACTGGGATTTGCCCCTGCTCATGGAAAGAGTCCAAACACTGTTTCCACAGGCAGACATATGAGTAACTCAGTTATATCATGCTGTTTCAGTGAGGTGGTCATTACCATTTTCAGCTTTGCAAACTGGGTCTTCTGCAGGCCGCTAGAAAAAAAAATAATCATGGAAAAGTCAAAGAAAATAGAACAGTCATTTTCTAGACAGAGACACAAAGTAAAACAGTCCAGCATATATGCATTAAGTCTTGTTTCTGTTTTCCAGTCTTCCTTGTTCTATTTTCAGACCATTTATTACAAGTGTTAACCTAATGGCTAAAATCTTACACTACTGCTAGGATAATTGCCTACAGTTTTTATCAACAATGAAAAAGGGGAAAAAAAGGCTTTTTACCTTCAAAGAACGATCCTTCTTTTCAAAAACAAATGTTGCCTGGGCAAGCACTGATTTCTCTGGAAAAAGAGAAGAGATAATTTTTAATAACAATTCTGTAATAGTATTTATCAACCAGATCTCTGAAAATGCTGTGCAGTAACAAACAGGAGTTCATCCTTTTGTACAAAGGAAGAAACTATAGAGATGCAATGATGTACAGTACAACACATTACAATAAAAAGGTATAATCCCCAAATCTGAGTGAGTTTTGCCTAACTAGATGGCATGAGATTTGGCCTCATATTTTTATATTTCTTTCTAATAAAAAAAAAAAACTTTTAGCCTTTATAAAAAACATCTACCATCCTTTAAGACCAAGGGTGAACTGCATCTTTGGGTAGCAGAAGAGAGCAAGGATGTGAAATGTAAAATATTCCTAAAGGAAGGAAAACAAGAGAATGTTTACACTCAGCCTTTCAGCTACATTCATATATTCTGCTCTTTGAGCTTCAGGTGGGTGGATGTCTAGGGTCATTTTTAATTTGTGTGTATGACAAATAAACATATGGAGCTCTATAGAGCAAATTCTAGTCTCAGCATACCTCTGCATCTCTCAGGCATAACTAAAAGTATCTTGGATCTATGCTCTTTTTTCCTACAAAATATATTTCTGCATACATTTACATCAGATTTTATGTTGATTTAGGGTTCACTACTTCTGCATCTCACACAACTTCTTCAGGCTGTTCACTTTTTTAGGCTGGTGACCTTCACAGCCTGTGCAGCCCTAATGGACTAAATTGTCAGTGTAAAAGAAAAAGCTGTTTTCACCAGCACCACTGATTAATGACACGTTTATTATATGAATTAAGGACACAATTAATGAGCAAAAGAGCAGACACAAGTAGGTCTTTTTTTAAAGACCACTCCATACAGGATTCATCTCATGCTAGCTTGATACATCTCTCATGTGCAGTAAATAGAAACAATAAGGTTCTGACTATGAGCATATTTTAGCTGTGTATTTCAGATGATAAATGGAAAGCTAAATGCATGTATTTCTCTCCACGCTTGGTAAGTACAGAGTACAGACTAGGGTGACTTCTGAGCTATTTGACTGGCCTCTGGCCAGAGAAATCTCACACTTGGTGCCTTGTTAGCTGACATTTGACAGAATATTTATCACATACACAACATTTTTGTAACACTCTTTTCCTCTGTTACCTCTTCAACAAAAACATCCAAGTGAAAATATGTGGATAGATATTTTTATCTAGAATTGCACACCTATCTGTGACCAAACAACTCAAGCTTTGGTATGAATTAGTCAAAGGTTTAATAAAGCAAACATCAACCCACACGGAGGAGTTAAGGTTACTACACAAAAATGTATTCAACTATCAAGGAGAAAGTAAACATTGTTAAAATTAATGCTTCATATATGTAAACAGGGGCAAAGAGCATGAAACTTTTACTCAAAACCAGGGATATACAGACAGGATATACAGAGGAGTAATAACTAATACAGTTTTGCTATTGTTAATTTTATATTTACTTGGGCATTGTTTATATGCAAAGGACAGTATTTGACAAATTTAGCACGCTTTGCAATGAAAGCCTATTTCTTCCTTAATAGAAAAAGCAGAAAAAAAGTTCACATTGTTCCACTGAAAGAAAGATAACTCTCTGTCATTGAAAGCTGAAGAAAAATTCCATAATCTGGTTGCAGCTAGGGGGTCAATGGCATGACATGACATGAAGCAATTCCACTTCTATTCACTAGAGGGGAGTGGCACACATGAACAATAGCATTTCGCTTAAATATGATTTTCTGAAGAGAATAGGCTTTTTTCTGTCCCCTTAAAAACAAAAAGCAAACAAACAAACAAAACTGGCATTCTTATTGAATGAAGGATAAAATACAAAAAGTAAAGCATAACTGTAGAAACCTTCATATTCTTCTCAGTAATCCTCAAGCTCAAGAAGCTTGCACTACTTTTAAAGGTACATTTTCTACTCCAAAGAATGGAATTAGCAAAGAGTGAACTGCTGTGAAAAAGAAATTTACTTTCTGTCACAGAGTTAACTTTTCCTAGAGCTAAAAGTCTATAGGGGATTTGAAGGAATTTATAAAGCCCACTACATCTGAAACAGCAAGAAGATTCCAATAATATTTTAAAACCCAAAAGTTCCTAAACAAAAAAATTCTAACTGCCTAATTACCAACAGAAATACGTGAAACTACAGCGTCAAACTATGAAACTACGTCAAAGATAAATATGCATATTTTAATATTGCAGTAAATAAAAAGAATATATCCCACCTTCTGCTCTTAAGCCAAAAAGCTGTCTGTAAATTTAGTCAGAGGTTGCTGATGCTGCCACAGTTATTTATAGTTTTTACAGCTCCATAATGCTTCTACTCAAATCAAGAAAACCTTTTCGTAATTCCTGAGGCATATTCCACAAAGCTCATCAGTGAGATCTTCACTCCTCAATCAGGCTATTCATAACAGGGTTTTAAAAATACATTTTTGTTAACTATATATGTATCCTAAGCATAAATTTCCATTTACATTTTCAGCTTCTCAGATATTCAGGCACAATATAAGTGCAGATGATCTCCACAGAAAAAGACACCCAGAACTTCTTGTGGATGTAACACAAGGCCATCAGGTCTTGTCAACACACAAACACCGTGTCAACACACACCTCAGTTGTGTTGACATGGTAGTTTGACATCGGTCAGTACCTGTGCATTTGTCCCTTTAATTTCCTGCCCTAAGTCTGCCTCTGGCAGGGTGGCTGTGCTGGAGAATAGGTGCTTCTGCACTCTCTGCCATGCAGGGCCAGACTGTGTCCCAGGAATAGGCAGGAGCAGCCAAGGCCAGGCACAGGCAGATGCGGACAGAGGAACGGGAAGGGGTGGGCTGGAGCCATTCCCCCTCATCATCACCACCAGGACACAGACAGACATGGGCTGGCTAATGCCTGGTTCAGACCAGGCCACTCCAGTCCTTGGCAGCTTGGCACTTGTGGATAAAAGAGGCAGTTGGAAAAGTTACCAGAAAATAATGCCAAATGAGCTGCCTCTGGCTGCAAGGACTGGAATAATCCACCGGCCTCAGCCAAGAGCCCAGACACAGAACCTGTCTGTCTGCACATGAATAATCACCACAGACTAGGCTCTCTCTCCCTTGCTACAGTTCCCCTGAAGCTGTTGAATCAGAAATGTGTTGGCCTAATGTTTGCTGTATTCCAAGATCAAAATAGGCCCTTGCCTGGAAGATGCATTAGAAACGTCTATTTCTTTGTCTGAGATCTCAACTGGACGGTGTCCTGGCTCCAACCTCCTGTCTGGAAGAGAAGCACTATTAAATGTGCTCATATCTGAGCTACCTGACTTAGATGGTGCCCAGGTTACAGGATGGAGACTGCTTTCCATTTAAAAGAGCATTTTGGGAAAAGTATGGGGAAAAGAAATGCTAGCTGATACCTTAGGAACACTAGCCAGAATTGCATGCAAGAAATAATGTAAAATTGCTTTTACCAGGTTTGCTTGTATCCTAAAAGCCAGCATTGTCCATGAGATGTAAGGGTCCCTCTGCCTTTGCTGTGACATTCCACTCTTCACTTCCACTGCCACTGCCTTTTCTAAAGCTATTGAGACTTCACAAAATATAAACATTAAAAAATAAGTAGGACATTGATGATTTTGAATGTTATTGTTACTATTGCTCCATCTTGTCCTAAACACAGATAAACAATTCTTAATCTTTGAGGGCTAAGACACAGTGGAGAAAATGTAAGCACATATCTGTTTCTAATTTCCAGGCAGTCCTGTGCCTCAAATCATGCCAAAAGTGGCACCACTGTTTCTCTACTCCTCCCAAAGAGATACAAAAAAAAAAACCTCCTCAAATCTTTCAGAAGGTAAAATAGGAATTGTGTTCTCAATAAAAGTTTCATTTCTGATGTTGAAACAGTTAATTTTTATGCTTTCAATTAAAAAAAAATAAATCTGTTGCATCTTCACCATTACCAAACTGTCCAGAAGACTGAAAATGCTTTAATTCATATCCATAGCAAAATCTTGCACATTAAGTAAAGATGGACCAGTTGCTTCAAAAGGCTGAGCTCACCAGCAGCAGTGGCAGCACCTCTGGGATAATGGATTTAAGAAGGGCAAAAAAAGAACTGCACAAGGGCAATTGCAGCTGTGAGAGAGGAGTGAGAATGCGAGAGAGGAGCAGATCTGCAAACACCAGGGTCAGTGAAGGAGGAGAGAGGGAGGGTGTGTGGTGACAAAGCTGTGCCCCTGCAGCCCCTGGAGGCCCAGGGGGGAGCAGAGATCCACCTGCAGCCCTGGAGGAGCCCACACCAGAGCAGGGGGATGCCCAAAGGAGGCTGTGACCCCTTGGAGAGAGCAGCCCACGCTGGAGCAGGTTTGCTGGCAGGACTTGTGACCCCACCAGGGGCCCACAGTAGATGAACTCATGGAGAACAGCCTGTGGAAGGGACTCAAGTCATAGAAGTTCTTGGAGGACTGTCTCTTGGGGGAATGACCCTGTGGTGGTGCAGGGGAAGAGTGTGAGGAATCATTCCTGAGGAGGAAGGAGTGGCAGAGACAAGGTGTGATGGAACTGGCCATAACCCCCATTCCCCATGACCCTGCTCTGCTGAGTGAGAGGAGGTAGAGAAAGGAGGGAGTGAAGTTGAGGCTGTGAAGGGTGGGAAGAGGGTTTCTTTTTTAAGATTGGGTTTAGTTCTCACTACCATTCTCTATTTCTACTTTGACTGGTATTAAACTAAATGGATTTCCCCTGGTCAAGTCCCTTTTGCCTGTGATGGTGATTGCTAAATGTTCTCTCCCTGTCCTTATCTCAACCCATGAAACTTCCATAATTTTCTCTCCCCAGTCCAGCTGAGGAGGGAAGTGAAAGAGTGGTTTTGGTAGGCACCTATACCAACAACACCTATAGTATGTTGACCATGGTCAACATACCACAACATTAAATAAATAAACCAAACAAAAAGGAAAAAATATGGCACAAACCAAAACCAAACAAAAAACTCCTTCTTAGTCAGAAAAAAAATCTCAAATAGAATATGATACTTGAAAATTGTTTAATGTCCAAATAATGCCACTGACCTACAAAACCTTTAACTGCACCCAATTTTCCTTTACAACATCCTAACAAGTATTGCACAGCCCACGAAGTCTACCAGAAAATTTATAATCAGCTTATAATTTTATCCTATCAAATGATAAGGCTATGACATTGATTTATCAAGTTCCTGTGCTCTGATATGCTATAGGATATTTTGGAAGCTTTGCACATTACAGCTATAATTTGCAAAAACTGGATTTTGATGTTATAGCTTAGATTGCTGGTTCCCACAGAACTCTAACCAAATGAAGTTAATCAATAACAGCAAATTCTTGCACATAAGACTGCCATTTTGATTGCTTAACATCTAAATTAGCTCAATGAGAACATGTAATTTGGGAAGATGTTGAGAACAAAAGTAGACTTAATGTCACTTTGGCTGCTACATCCCCAGAAGTAGTTTTATACCACTAAAATAGTAAAAAAAAAAAAATATGGAATAAACTTTGTCACTAATGAATATGTGCTATGTACAGCTATTACTTGAAAAACAAGTGAGACAAAACTTTGTGGCAATACACATGAAGGAAAAGGAAGCAATAACGAACTAGCATTTAAGTGGGAGACATGGACTGAGAAATTTACATTGATAAATAAAATAAATAACAGGAATTAACAAAAGAAATTATTTTCACTATGCTAGATGATGATCTGTACATTAGTGGCTTCAAAGAGCACCAAAGAGTTAAACTTTATAATACTATGAACAATTTTTATTCAAAATGCTGCAAAAACGTAGAAAATTATCAATATTTTAGACAGTAAAACCACAACATGCAGAAGAAAAATATATATATAGTGAAAACAAAAACCAAGATAAATTAACAAAATATTTTCCTCCCTAAGCTTAGGCTCATGTCTAAATATTGTTTCTGGCTTTTAATACAAAAAGACATCTGTCAGTATTTCCAGTGATGCACCATTTTCATCTAAAATGAGGTGGAAAATAACAAAAACCTTCTGGCTTCTGTCAAGAAGGTATCAAGAACAGGATTTGCCAAACCTGCAATAGAACCACAGTTTCTGGTTTAAACATGCTCATCAAAGTTCACAACATAAAACAGAGTCAGTTCACAGCCAAGAGAAAGTGCCACAATGCTGCCAGCCAACACCTTGGGTCCCTCAGTGGCATCACTACATAAGCCAGGCTTTCATCTGCTAGAACTTAAATAAGACAGATGATATGAGGCAAAATGAGGGTGTTCTGGAACAGTACTTCATGCAACCAACTTAATAAAACGGATCAACTTAAAAGAAATATGGGGAAGAGTTTGTGAAATTTCCCACTGCTGACCCCCAGTAATGCGTGTGTTCCCAGAAGTGCTGGGTGTTCTGATGGAATTCACACACACAACTGCTCAGCACCTTTGAAAAAACAGGTCACTAAGTAAAGCTCTAAATATGGACCTGGAAACCTACTTTCAGATTCTCATGTATTAGTCTTCATACTTTTGATTCTGCTTATGAATCATATTTAGTATTTTTCTAAGACAGCTGTCTTAAAAAATAAGACCAGTTTTAATGCCATGACTGGGGATTTTCCAAGCAAACTTACATTTTTTTTTTTTTTGCTAGAGACATTGTAATACAAGATTGATGACTTCAGTTTGCATCTATATCTATTTTATGTACATAACGGGTTTTATTTAATCTGTTAACACTCAAAACAAAATTATAAAATAAAATAAGGTCATAAATCAAATGAAGTTCTAATCTGGTCAAATCTCCAGTGCTAATCAGAAGAGTTTCCCATACACAAAGGTATCAGAGATGCATGTTGCTATACAGCAACGTGCAGCTGCAGTATCCTAGTCATAGTTCCAGATCTGTATGCTAATGGAATTTTTTCTTTTATGATACTCTTCCGAATGTCCGTAAATCAATAAATTTGCAACAGGTCCTCATGGATCCTGATTTCCCAAATATGCTCAATAGAAATCATTTTAAAGAGTGAAAAAAATATTTTGAGTATTGTCAAAATAAAGTACTTAAAACCTATTGAGATGAAATCTTTGACAAAGTTTTTTTATTATTTGAAAAAAAGGAACCATTCATTGCTGTGAATTTTATTTCTAGAGAACTTAAACATATACCACTGATATTTGGCCACTGGCTGCACTTGCTGCAGGAGCAACTGTACTTCAGTGGCCCATGAAGAGACTGCTGGATACAGCACAGTGCTCTGTTTAAACACCCTGTACTAAATATGAAGAGCACATTGCTTATCTTGGGTTCAGACAGCATTCTGTAAATATAGTTTGGGGAACCAATAAATAACTTAATGCCTCCCTGTTTGGATCAGCAGAGAGTACATCATCAAAGAAGGGAATTTCTGTTTCATTGCACTCAGAAAGAAGAAAGTTCATCTAATTGACAATTGCAAAATAAAACTTCTGAAGGAGCTTTTCCTAGGACAGTTTTACTACATTTTTGGGACTCCAATACTGCACACTCTTTGTTATACAAATAGTTCATAACCCACATAAATGATTTCCCTGTCATCAGTGACACCAGTTATGAAAGCAAAGGATTCTTCATGCAGGCACAGTCCTGCATTATCAGACTCTTAACATTTTAAGATATGTTCATCCTCTCCTAAGTCACTCTTCTCAATGTTACAGATTCTAAACACAGATAGGGATTAGGGTGGAAAGGGTTCTTCTAGCCAAAAAATTCCATTCTAATACTCTGAGCTCCCACTGTGTTTTTTAGCATGCCATGTGAGAGATGAGATTTAAAATTTAAAATACTTCTCTTCAGCTGTGGAAACTCAGCTGACAGCCTGTGGAAGTGTTTATAAATACAGCATATGTCACACCCACTCACCTCTGTAGAGCACAGTTCTCACCTTAATACGGGTATAACATAAACAGGCATTAAAATAGCAATAAAAATTACCCTATCTCAGCAATATTGTAGCATAATTTCTAGAGAAATGTAACCCAGTTGGCTTTATTTCAAACATTAGAGTGAAGAAAATATTTTTGAGAGTCTCATCACTAGAGTGTAATTCTAGCAGTGATACCACACCAGAAGTAACTGTGCCACTAGACCAGGAGGACTGTGCCAAAAAGCATAACCAAAATTTATTTTAGGAACACTGAAACATCCCACTGCTCAGAATTTTTAATCTATTGTAGAAGCCAGTAAAATACCCAATGAAAGAGCCATAAAATTTGTAGGCATAAAAAGTGTTACTCTTTTCAGGGCATTGTACCAAATTTAAATTTCAGAAATCCCTACAAGGTGGCACAAAAGTAACCCCCAGAGGGTTTGTGCAGAAATTGATCTATACAGGTAATAAGGTCATGATCCAACAACACTCACACATCCTTAAATTTCAGTGAGTAAACTGGACTGCGTGCTCAATATCAAACACAAGCTGAAAGGTTGGTCAACTGATAAATTAGCCCAGCATCTCTAAAATGTATCAGTCATAACATCAGACTTAGTCCTTGAAAGTCTTCTTGGTAATTTAGGTTCATTCACCCCCTGTAGTAAAAAATGGTTGGTGGCATCATCTGCAAAAAGTAATTAATATTAGTAATTGTTTTCATTATGCATCCTCATAAGTTTTTAATGATACTGATAAATCGCTTTCAATTCATGGTTCTCCTCACTACCTAAATAAGGGATTTTGCTGTCCACCTCTGTAGTCAGGCACCAATCTGAGCAGCTAGAGCAGGACAATTTTGCTCTCAAGGTGCAGGGCACATCAGGCCATGAATGTCCAGGAAAACAAGTGCTGCATCCAGGTATGGCCAGGAATGCAAGTGCTATTCCCACAAATCATCAGGCCCAGCATTTAGGAAAGCTGCAGAAAGCTCAAATGGCAGGGGAGTTCACGCTGTCAGAAATATAGAGAGGCCACATACACACATCTGGCAGTGTCCTTTCCTCAAGGAAAATACAAATTGGAGATTTCCGATAGATCACCAGTAAAAACAAAGCAATAAATAAGCACAGCCAGCTCTTGTTTTGCATTACACACAGCACTGTTACCAACCAGGCACATTTTTGCGTTTATCCCGTTCCCCAAAGAAACCCGGGGGAACACAAGAGACACGCAAAAGATAATAGCTAACAAAACCTACCTGTAAAGCGCTCCTCCTTGGGATCTAACATGCTGCCACGGGAGCCTCGGCAGGGCCTGGGCATGGTCTGTTCTTGCAGGTGAGCAGCCTGGTGCAGAGCCCAGGGACCACCGGGCCACTCTCTCCTTTTTGGGAGGTCGGGCACCTTCGCACCCGGCCGGGGTCTGTCACAGCCAGCAGCGGAGCATCGCGTACCTGCGCAGAAAACATTCCCTTGGCCAGCAGGAATTGCCTCGTTTCTCATTACGAGGTCAGCCTAAGTACCCTTTCATATGCACCTCTCTCTATAAATGTAATCATGTATGTTAGGGCGCCGTGGCCGGCTCGGGAAGCCTGCCGCCCTCGGAAGCACCGGCGGGCCCGGGACGGCCGCAGCAGGGCAGGGCCGGCGGGGACAGCCCGGGGATGGAGCCCGGGGATGGGGCCCGGGGCCGGCTCCTCGCCCACGGGGCGGGCCAGGGGAGGAGACATGGAGAAGCCAGGCACGGGAAGGTGGAGGGGAGAGAGGGCGGGCTGGGGAATTGCGCGAGTGGCGCTTCCCGGCGGCTGCGGCGGTTTTTGGCTTTTTTGTTTTCAAAAAGAAGATGAAATTTCAGGCAAGGTTAGCCGAATCCCGGGGTTGTTCCCAGGCTGACGGGAACCGAGTGCAGCCTCAGCACAAATAGGTGTTGCGGTCCCTCCTTCCAGCCGCCTGTGCTGCAAGCCCCAAAGCCTCGCCCGTGCCTCCTGCTGCTCTCTTAAATGGCAACAGCCCCAAATTCTTCGAGTGGGAGAGATTTCAGGCCATCATATACTGCAGGCCTGGTGTCAAACTGTCTGTAATCATAACAGCTCAAGACAAAAAAGCAGGCATTCACTGTAAATTGATCAGAATCGTATGTCTAATCTAATCTAGTGTCTTCACACAGCCAGTATCAGATGTTTCACAGAAAAAATATGCGGTAAGTCCAAGAGCACACAGATGCTCAGTGGTTTTCCCTCATTATAGACTCAGTGTGTGTTGGCATAACTTCTAAAGTGTTCCATTTAACCCTTCTGCGGTAGAATCAGAAAAACTTTTAGACTGGAAACGACCTCCAAGATAAAAGTCCGACCCTTAACCCATCACTGCCAAGTTCCCATCTAAACCATGTCCTCAGGTACCACACCTACACATCTTTTAAAGACCTTCAGGGATGGTGACTCCATCACTTCCTTTGGCAGCCTGTTCCAGTGCCTGACAACCCTTTCGGTGAAGGAAATTTTCCTAATATACAATCTAAATATCTCCTGGAGAAACTTGAGGTCATTTTGTCTTGTCCTGTTGCTTGTTGTCTGGAAGAAGAGGCCGAGCTCCACCTGGCTTTAGCCTCCTTCTCTGGACATGCTCTAGGGCATGCTCACCTCATTGTCTTGTAGTGAGAGTCCCAAAACTGAACATAGCATTTTGGGTGCAGAAACCTGAGCCTTAGATGTTAGTACTTGGTATTTTTGTGGCCTTTAATTATATATGCCACCTCTGCATAAACCTTAATAACTCTTTGACTTGTGGTGTACACTTTGTCATCAGGTTGCACAGTAGCAGTGCAGTTTGTAATTTTTGTTTTCCAAGTTTTCAGTTTCAGTTGAATAGTGCCTTGTTACTATTGTGTGCAACAGTCCTATTCTAGCTTCTAAATAACATTTCATTGTTTTATACTTTTGTAATATATTCTAGTTGTCTTCTGAGGAGCACTGTTCAAATTTTTTCAGTCATTATTTTTTTGAATTCACAAACACACAGATGGAGGTGGCCCATAGGCAGTTGCAGAAAAGGTAAAGGCACAGAGCTGTTTCTAATTTGTCCAGTGAAACCAGCTGCTGCTGGAGAAGGAGGAAGTATTCTGTGGAACATCACATTATCCTGTCCTGTTCTCAGCCTTAGCATCCATTGCTAGCCACTCCTCAAGAAAGGATTCTATGGTGCCACTCAGCATCACCATTCTTATATTCTTTCTTAACATTATATTCATTTTGCCTGTTAAACTCCTTTAAATAATAAAATCTTTAATACACTGTGATAGCCAAGTGAGTACATAACATGATCTGAAACTGGAAACTGAAAGTAAAAAGAAAGGTGAAATAATTTGGAAATCATAACACACATGTATCTATTTTTTGAAATTTCAACTACGAATAGGGAAATTAGCCAACAGTTAATTTCTCCATAAATAGTTTTTCATCACATCCTGATGAAATTAATTTTGTAGTAAGAGAGAGAAAAGTAAAAAGCAGAGTAGTTACCTGGGTCTACTTTTGGCTAGGTCACAAAATAAATTCCTTATTAGTTCAAGTTCTAAATGGTGCAAGGTTCTTTGATAAGCAAACTATGAATCTTAGATTAAAGTCATTCTAATTTAATTATGAGTCTAACATTTTATGAACATTCAATTATAATAAAACCAGGCATATTCAACTGGTCTGAACTGGTGTTCAGACAAAATCCTGAAAATGCCTGCATATGTCCTGCTGTCATTGACATCTCTGGTGCTCTTCTCTGCAGAGCTGTTTCCATCAACAGATGCTGTCCAAGGACAGCATAGGTCTTGTGTGTCCTTGATGCACTCACATTACTCCTACTTACCCAAAGATAACCTTTGAGAATTCCTTATTTAACACAAATAAAGTAAGCACAATACATTCATTTCAATTTACAGATACATAAATCACTCAACCAGACCCTTGATCTGAGCACTCTCCACTTATTAAATTTTAGGAGAGAATAAAATTAATATCAAAGGTGGTAACAGTGCTGTTGAGGTTTAATCCCAGCCAGCAGCCAAGCCCCAAGCAGCCACTTGCTCTGTCCCCCATTCCCCAGGATCAGGGAGAGAATTGGAAGGGTAAAAGCTGGAAAACTCAGGGGTAAAGATAAACAGAGTATAACAGGGAAAGCAAAGGGAAAGGAAAACAATGAATTAAGTCACCACTTGCTATGTGCAGGCAGGTGTTAAGCCATCTCCAGAAGAGCAGGGTCCTATCATATGTAAAATGACTTGGGAAGACAGATGACTTCACTCGAAATGTTCTCCCTTCTTCTTCCTCCCAGTTTATATCCTGAGCACAGTGTCACATAGTCTAGAAAATCCCTTTGGTCAGTTTGGGTCACCTGTCCTGGATTTGTCTCCTCCCATCCTCCCAGGCACTCCCAGTCTCCCTGCTTCTGTTGCAGTCCAAAAGCAGAAAAGGCCTTGTCTCCGTGTAAGCTCTGCTCAAAAATAACAAAAACATTTCTGTAGTATCAACTGTGTGCTCAGCACAAATCCAAAACATATCCCTCTACTAGCCACTGTGAAGAAAATTAGCTGTACCTCAGCTGAAACCAGCACAAGTGCATTCACCTCCTGCACCCAGAGCATTGATAAATGCATCGAACAGAACTGACCCTAGACTTGAGCACTAGGAACACCACTGCTGGATGGTCACCAGTCACACCAGGCAGCGTAGTCCCTTTTGAGCCCTGACATCCAGCCTGTTCTTCACCCAGCACACTGTGAACCTGCTCACCCCACTGCTGGATGACTTGCCCAGAAGGATGCTATGAAGGACAGAAGTATCAAAAGCCTCCCTAAAACCCAGCAAAGCTGCATCCACTGCTTTCCCCTCACCCACTACACAGGTGACCTTCTTGTAGAAAGACATCAGATTAGATGAACATAAATTTCCCTCTGTGAACTCATGTTACCTGTGCCTGATGGTTGTACTATTCATTAAATGCCTTCCTTCACAGTCTCTACCTCCTGCAGATTCTTTTTTCATGGCACAAAGATCTAAGCAGACACAATCTGTATTTCCCTCCAGCATATCCTCTGAATGTGCAGGGCAGGAGAGGAGGGCTGCTGTAACACCACATACAAGTCCTCCCAGAGTCAGGGTTGTTCCCAATGCATTTCTCTACTCTCAGCAGAAGCACACACTCCCACTGCTAGATTTTTAACTTTTCCTTATTCCTTAAGATTTTTCCTTATTAAAGCATTTACTCTTTAAATAAGCCTGAGTCACTCTGAAATGGTTTCACCATCCATACACTGTTGATGCAAATGTAGAATAGCTGCAGGCTTCCAATCTCTAGAAAACACACACATGTTCACTGGTAATTTCCCCAAAGACAACTTTTTCAGCCATACCAGCCACTTTTTGACTCATCTGCATGAGCTCTATATGGTAGAATTTTTCATTATAATGAATATAATAATACAAATTTTTCATTAGGACATGATGTGGTACTAAATCAAAAGACTTGCAAAACTATCTGGAAATATGTAAGAGCAATATCATTATTCCAAACACATGTGTACAACACAGCTTTTACTCCACACCCTAATTTTATGATTAAATTTGAAATATTTGAGCCATTATTTTAAATCACTTATGATATTTTCAAGACAGTAATACTTAATTTGATCCAACACTTTGGAGTACATCATGAGTATTCAACAAGTCATTCAACACAGTAAAAACAGTAAAAACCTAGCAAAATACTTCTGGACATTTCTGGATTTCAGGCAGAAATCAAGAAAAGAATTGCCAACAAATACTGTAAGATATGTTATGGCCCCCAGGAAAATACATTCCTGTTTTCTGTATCCAAATCCCTCTTTTCTTAAGTTACACCTTTCTAATTTTAGGCACTCAAGTAAGGCATCTAAATTAAAAGCCCCATTGCTCTGCTTCTGTTCTGTACCTCAGAGAGAGCCGTTGCTGGGATCTGCCTCTGAGGCAGGACCACCATGTTCCTTTGGGATCCTTTGGGGTGGATGAGAGCAAAACAGTGCTAATTAACTTACACAACAATGAACAACTGCATCAAAACCATAACTGGAAAAAAATGAGAAGGGGTACATAGCTGTTCTAGAGGATGTGATCACCCTAAGAGAGGAAAATGGGAAAGAGAAAAACGGGGAAAAAGAGGTAAGATAAGAGATAGAAAGATATCACTACCCACGGCTCCAGCAAAGTGTGGGTGATTGTGGTCTGTGGCTGTGATATGGAGCCCTTGTCTGTTGCAGGTGAGGACCCACGTACGCATCGGAAATTGGAGTTTTATAACCCTGGTTCTTCCCGTAAATGCCCCAGAATGTTCACCAGGAGTTCTGTCCATGGACAGTCTGATTTCTGGAAGATTCTGGAAGTGTGGTGGTGTCAAGAGGAGGGGGTGAGAGTCTGACTCTGTGTGTCTGTCTGTGCCAGGACAAAGTTCTTGAGTACACTTCCAGAGTTGTGTGTTGACACAATGGTGGATCACAGTGTGGGAAAGAGACCAGCCGGGGAAAAAACCTCTACCCTGCCTCTGAAGGATCTGTTGTTTAATGGCAGCTTGCCTTTCAGTTCAAAACCAGCTTATTTAAGGCAAAACTCATCTGCAAGGTGCAACTGTTTTGCTACAGTGATTTATTCCAGAGATTTGAGCTGCCTCTGGACAGACACTGCCCCTTTACTGCAGAAGGAGTGTGGACTCTCAAGGATTCCCTTCATACAATTTCCAAGTGAGAAAGATGAATAATTTCTTGTGTAGTCCACACTGAGGCAACTGTCCCTCTGAACTCTGTGGAATACTTTACATTAGCTTGTGCATAAAAATAAATACTTTAAAAGCCAAAAGCTTTGAGTATTTGTAGAATCATACCTGCTTTCCTGCTATTTGTATGCATTAAAATGCTAACTGCCATTTATTATGAAACACAATAGACAACCTTTCTTCTTAGGCTTTTTGTTTATTTTTTTATTTTATGATAGTAATTTGGAATATCTTTCAAATGTAAGGTATAAAGAATATTTTCTTACTGTTCTTTTTCTACCATTCTCATCCATCTGATGTATTTCACAGGATGTTGTCAGCAACATGGCACTGCAAAATGTAGAATCTGATACTGTTCTGCACTGTTGCTATGACAATACTGCAGGTTCTGCTATAAGTGACACATTAAATTAGCTCCATGCAACATCCTGGCAGCTTTCCAGTGGTTCTGTAATAGATATGCCAGGATATCTTTGGTATTACTACATGCTGTGTACAAAAGGCTTGGTTTTAATTAACCTGCCTCCAATAATTATTGAAATAAAATTGAATGAGAACTAGGACATAAAACTCCTGCTATGTTCAGCAGGACTGGATCAGAGCACGCACTGTCTTGTTTGCTCTTCAAGAGGAGAGGTCTGGAAAATGTTCTCTCTCTGCTCTATCAGCTGACCTCAAGTCACATTAGCAGCCATCTCAAAGATTTCTCTAGGAATTAGTCCAGAGATGGAACTGGAAGAATGAAAAGGAATGAAGAAGAGACATCTAGGAAAGCAAGATAATACTGATAAAAACAAAAGCTAAATGAATGTGCCATTATGTCTAGTGGTACACACATGCCTTGAAAATTGTAATGAAAACTTGCTTTTACTTAGGAAGAACTGAGGTTTCTTCCTTGCTGTTAACAAATACTGTATTCTCATTTGGTGTCTGAATTTTAATACACCTCTTTTTCACTGAGTTTCCATTCTCTTCTCAGTTGGTGTTGAACTTTCATTCGTCCTGGGATAGGAAGCGGACTCATTACCATCGGACCTGTAATCAAATACAGAAGCACAATGAGCGTCAAGACTTACATACAAATCTCAATTTTATGCTGTAATTTATATACATATAATATTTCAAATATCTGTAAAGTTTTGATTGTAGTGCAGAGCGGTGCTGAGTGGCAGAAAATCCACTGATTAACAGGCTGCTTATGTTTAGTGATGCATATGATGAAGAACGTCTTAAATTGAAACCATTGCACTCTTTGCGGTAGGTTTGCTTCTTCTTTAGCAGTTGTGTGTTTTGCCTTCATCTACAGGCACTGTTTAATACCTTTGTTATCAGCATGAGCAGTGGTGTTGAGGGCACTCCCAGCAAGTTTTCTGAGCTGTCCTAGGGTACAGTATTTCTGAGTATTTCTAAGTATTTCTACAGTATAGTTTTCTGAGCCGTATAGGGTACAGTAGCATTTGAGTAAATGCTACATGGCAAGAAAATTTAGTTCAGCATCACGAAAAATAAAGCTGGTTAATAATGGATAAGGTTATGCTACTGCTACTATTTATGCCTTGAAAGTGCATATATTTCAAGGACAAGAATGTAGAGAAAAGGGTTGCTGTTGCTTCAGTTTCTGTCAGAACAAGAGCAAATGGATGAATATGGCAGAAAAATTGTTTTCTATTTCTCTATTTTGTTACGTCAGAGGAGCAATTTCCCAAAAGATTCCACCCATCACATGGAAAATAATTACACTGTTCATACTTGCTGAAAAGAAAAAAAAAGGCTGGAGCCCTCTGTGCTCCTGGAAGGATTTCCACTTGGTGACTCAGTTACCGAGAACCATCAACAGATTATTGTGCAGTAGAACACAACTTTTGATGATTACTTCAGACTTCAGCCAAAATTAGGTTTTATTATCCCTTGGGTTATCTTTCAAACATTTGCAAATTAGATGACTAAACTGTAAGAATCAGCTCAGTTCCTTGTGGTCCTACAGTACTGCATTTTCATCTGTCTTCTTTTGGTTCTTTGCAAGTACAAAGTGACTTCCTGAGGCACAGGGCAAGAATAACTGAAATTCTTTGCTGCACTATGCAGAAGGTCATGAAATGTTCAGAATTACCCCTTTTAACAATAATCTGTATTAATCTGTAAATCAATGAATAGCAAAAGCTGCTTCAGCTGTTAGGACTCATTAGTGTTTTAGCTCATGCAGAACAATCTGTTCTCGCTTCTTTTGCTTCTAAAGACATACAGAGGAAAATCCTTAACCATTTTCTGAGTGCAAAAGTTGTATCATTATATTCAAATTGCTCAAAGTAGTGGTTTTTTCCCCTCATGGAGAAGGAAATCATATTCTTCAACTCAATTCTCATTTACCTAAGAATTGGGAGATGAATAAAATCACAGGGTCCCTTTCTACTGCTCTGATTAAGTCAAACTTGGATATGATGAAAGCAAAAAGATATAGTGCCCCATGGCCAAATCTGATGTTATGTTACAAAACCTGGGTAAAACAAAGCCTTAATTCTACAATACCACAAAATGGCCAACTAAATGAAACAGTATTTCTCTAAGAGTGTTGGCAAAACATATCTCCACTTCAAAGCTGATTAATTAGCAATTTTTTTAAGCACAAGAATTGTCTGTCAGCAGCAGAGTACATGAAATCAGTTAGCTAACTGTGGTCAACGTGTTTCACAGAACTTTTTAATAGAACCTGAGGCATCTAAATGCCAGAACCATATAAACTTCATGGAAGTCTGGGAAATACTTTTGATTTCAACAAGAGGCTGTTCAAACCCTTAATAAATCCTATTAAATTTACTAAGCTCTAATTCCTTGGAGTAGGAGACCAGACAGATTTGTGATATGAAACATAAGTAATATTTATGTCATTCTTTTATCTTGCTTAAATAGAGATTAATTGTCTAGTCCTTTTTGTATAAAACATACATATATGATGCAGTCACTGAGTTTTTATTACTTCCTGTGTTATTAAATTACCTAGGCTTATCCTGTGGACTAGATTGCCTTATATAGAATTCATATTTTAATTGTTTTGGATTCTGAACCCTTTGGAGTTCATTTGAAGCTGATACTCAAAGCAAACCTTGGGTTGTTAAAGCCCACACTAAGTGAAATATTAAAAAAAAAAGTATGAACAAGCCCTGTGGAATGCAAATGTCATATTTCACACGTCTTTGATAAACACAGATCTCCCTCATTTGCCTCCTGTTTAGGCTCAGTTTCAAGAGTTTGCTGCTGTAGTTTGCACGGTGAGCAATGGGCAGGTCCCTGCGGCGTTTCAGCCACTGCCATACGGTGCTGGCAGGCACCAGATACAAGAAAGCTTCCTTCCTTGGCAGACCCTGTCATGCAGCTGCCAGGGGTACTGCAGCACTGCCAGTCTTTAGGCCCAGCTCCTCTGCCTGTCTCTGAATGATTTCTCAATGTTTGGCACAAAGGAGAGAAGGAAGGTCACTTCCCACATCCAGAAGTGGCTGTTGGACCTTGCTGACACAAGGCTGCATTTTGCTGCCCTAAACTTCCTCCTAATAAGCTAACTTACTGGGCACAGAAACTTCTTCAAGCCTCATGAAAGCTACTGTGCTGATATAATCTCCCTATAAGTGAATAATTTGGGGTTTTTTTTCAGTGTCAATGTTTTAACCTTTGTGTGTGCATGTATATTGTTGGTCAAGTAACCAGCTACTCACAGCTGCCAGCTCATGGTATTTTAGAATAAACAAGAACTAAAGGAAGCATTTCTGCATGAACAGGTTTTTATGTGATAGCTGTGATACAGTATATTAAAATTACTATAATTAATGTTGCTGCTGTGGAAACTATTATTTTACTATCAGATGAGTTTTTACATCATTAGACAAACATAAACAGGAACAAAGCTACACATGTTGTGTTTTTATTATCCTTTATTCCAGTAAAATCAGAGCACCAAGCAGGCTAATACACAAAGTTAGGGCTGCAATCAAAAGCTATTGCTCAATGTTAGAGTCAAAAGCCTGATTTGAGTCACTTGGACTACAGCAAACGTGGGGATTAAGAGATTGGGATTTTGTATCAGGGATCAGCAAGTGAAAAGAAAGTCAAGGAGAAAGAGAAGTACCTACATTCTTTTAAGAGAAAACTAGCAAATCAGGAGGTAAACTCAAGTAATTTTGTCTCTCCTAATCACAGATGCTTTGTCAGTTTCCTTTTTAATTACATGGAGATTATCATATCAAGAATAGTGGTTAATTCCAGACTTCACTATAATCCAGAAAGGTTTCATTCTTTAATAGTGTTCACAAAGTTCCTCTATACGACTGGACATAAATTTCCAGGGAAAAGAAAATTATAAAACCCAGAGCCACTGATGTTAAGTAATAAAAGTTAAAAGGCAGCATTGTAAATATACACTATTGTTGGTTTTTCTCTAGGAAATATGATGGCAGATACCTCCCTTTGTGTCTTTCTTATAAAATAGAATAAAATGTTTCCATAGTCTTAAAATATAAATAACTACTTGCCTTTGTTTCTCCATAACTGTACTTATCTTAATTGAAAATAAAGTTTGAGATACTTTACATGTGTAAAACTAGTGAGAAATGAGAGCTAGCAAGTGTTATATGCTATTGCACAACTCTATTAAGCAATTCAACAAACCAATTTACTGTTCAACATATGTCCTGAGAATGACTACATCTGTGTATAACAGCTGAGTGTTCCTGCACCAAGCCCCAGCTCAGATAACAGCTTCTTATCCTGAAACTGCCCAATAAAACCCCTAAAACTGGGTAAAAACATTATTAATACAATGGACAAAGAGAACTTGGAACACTGCCATAAGACAAACTTTCAGCAAGACAGCAGTAGTAAGTGTGTAAAAATACTGTATATAGGAATAACAATTATACAGAGTCATAACTGAGTAAGGGATGAATTCCTATGATCCAAGGCATAAACCATCAATGCATTTTCAAGAGGTGGGAAGAAATACCCAACTGAGGTATTATGGAATTTCACATTCCTCTGAAATTCACCCACACTGCTTTCATGGACAGAATGACAACCCATTTGTCTCATATGTGTCTAACAGTCTTAAAGCAGGATCTGGGCTTTTTTAAGTCCTGCATTTAGATTTGTGTGAAACCTTTTATGAATCATTGGACTTCTTTGGATTTGGAAAGCCGTGTCACTTCGTTACATGGTAATATATTAGTCACATGATGTCTTCAAAGAAACTCTTTCTGCTTCCTATCGAAACATAAGTTTTCTGATTCTGTGATTTTGTTAATATATATTTTGTGACTTCATCTATCAGGTGACTTTTGCTAAAGACCTGAGCATACTCTGATAATAATTAGGTAAAAGAATAAAAGAGCAGGGTAGACTGGGAAGAGATGGAGGAAGCTAAACAACTGTGGAAATCATCTGCACAGACATTCCTCCTCAAATTGATTTGCACATAAGGGTATGGGGAAAGGAAGAAGTTGCTGAAATAAATAAAATATTTGGAGGAAGAAGAGAACCAAAAATTCATGACATAACAGGTTTAGGAAAACTAGAGGCTTAACAAAGCATTATTTTCCGTAATGGAAAAGCCCTGAATTACTACTCTGTCAACTGGCAAGGACTCTATAGAAATAAATGGGACTTTATGGTTTCCAAAAGTTTATCTGGCAGTCAAGCCCTTTGAAAAGAGTACACAGAGGACCCTAATAAGAACACAGGTGCTTTCTTCCCCTCCCAAGTTCAAATAAATCATACCCTTCTACTCTTTCTCTTTAAGTGTGCATCTTCTTCCTTTTTTGAGGCTACAGCTCTGGTTCCTCACTGGGACTTCTTGCCTGTGTCCTTCTCTGACATTTTTCACCTCCTCTCTGAGGCAGAAGTAGAACTGTAGACAGAACTCAGGCTTACAGCTTCCAAGAAAGTTATCTTGATTATCAATGTCACATCTGGACACAAGATTGCAGATTCAAGTCATATAATGAGCTTGATCCATAGTGATGCACCTGCTCTAAATATCCATTCACAGGTATGGAAAAGCCACAGCTGTCAGTCTGGAAGGCTGTTCAGATCCAATGCCACACACACTCTGCAGCAGTCAGGTGCACAAGGGTGAGCCCATGAAAATATTCATCTGCAGCAGACTAAACTTAGCAGTGTAATGAATTCTAAGAAAAACAGTGATTTGGTATCTTCCAGTCTGTCACAGTATTAGTCAAAAGCTGGCCAACCCCTGAGAGCAAGGGGTTGCTGACCAAAGACAACTTGTGCAAAGTCACAGGTATTGAAGCAGAGCCAGCTTATGATGGAAAGTACAATGGCTTACAGTACTTACAGGCATGGAATCCTTCCAGACACCTTCTTTAGGATATTAAAAACCTTACTTATATTTACATTCCAGTTAACTGTTAGACATTTGTATTCCAGAAATATCTTTTTCACCAATCTTTACCCACCATTATTGACTATCTTTTTAACATCAGAATTTGTGTTTAGGATTTCTGGAATAGGAAAAAAAAAAGTAACTGTTGTTACTGTTTCAGGAATCTTCATTAACTTTTTGTCAGTGCAAAATTCAACATCTTGGCTTTGAAAAGCTTTTGTGAGAGTGTCTACGTGGAATGTTGGAGTATATTGCCAGTACATTTCAGTGAGATGGCAACAGCAAAGATCTGTGATATAGCTGAAGTGTTTTAATTACACAAACATGCTGGCTTAGAATTTGCTGTGGTGTATCTGTATGTTCAGTTCATTCAGATGTAACCTATATCTATACCTATGTTTCTCTCACATTACTGTTAATGGTCAAAACTTTTCTATATCTAGAGAAGCATTTAATTTCAAATGCTTTTTCATTTGAAATTGCCTCCTTCTTTCATGCTGGAATGTCACCCAGCACTATCTTCTTTCCATTGAAAATGAATTGCCTATAAGCAGAAATGATACCATTCTTGTCCTAACACAAATAACTGAACAGTCAAGAACACAAGAAAATATAAAAAGAAATGGGAACTTCACAGACAATAAAGTAACACAGCCTGTTTCTTTTTTCAGTCACGTGAGGCAGGGAATTCAAATTGTCACTATTGTCAAATCTCACTGCCAAAAACAAAAGGGACTCTTCAAATACTCCATTTTTTAAAAAGTGCATTCAGGATCTCTTTTAGTTTTTTCTGGTTTCAGTTTTAAAGAAATTGGCATGCCTGTGTACATCAATTGGGGAATAGTAAGACTGGAAAGGTCGTCTTTATTTATGGTATGATGGGAGTGTATCATAGCCTTCCAGAAGGCTTCTGTTCTTATTTCTGAAAGGTCAGGAAAGATTTATTTTCATTTTGTGTAGTATTGTGCATTTTGTTTTATTTATTTATTGAATTAAAAATTTCAAACTGTATTCACATGGGTGTTTTTAATGGTATCCAGGAGAGCTCCTTTTTATCTACAAAGGATTTCTTAGTTCCTCAGTAAAATATTAAAAGAATCAGAATTCAATATTCTTGTAGTTTCAGCAAAAAATTGTACCACTGGTGACTAATAAATATTTTGTGTTTTTAAATCTCCCTGGAACAAGACTTTTTTTATTTCTATTGTATTAAAAAGACCTACTGTTTCTCCTCTCCCTGTAGGAATCCTTAAGGGATTTAAACCCCTTTGACATCCATTAGGTGATGAGGACTTAACTTGGTTAGGCTCCTTTGATGTACTAGCCTTACATTCTGAAAGGCTGACTGAAACTGCTCTTTGCTGAAATAATTAACCATCTAGTGCCCAGCCTTGGAATTTACAGAGTGGGCTGATACACAAAAGCCAAAGGAGACCCAAGATGAAAAGGTATTTATTGGTCATCAAACCCCTAAGCTTAATGAGTTTTATTCTTTTCAGGAGTTCCATAGTGTTAATACAGATACACTTACTTGATTCAGAATAACTTGGTTCGTATTTCACTTTTAGGATTTGGAAATGAGATTATGCCTGTGCCAGTGGAGAATATGAGACATCTTTCCTCTTGAGTCTTTTAAGCAATTCATAGTGTGTGTTCTGTTCATTTTAATATAAATAAAATCTCATTAAATAAAATCTAGAAAATGTATTTCCTGAAGCTTTGGTCCTAAATTAAAATTCATCAGCTGATAAAAGGACATGAACTTCTGCTGGAAGTCCAGCAGATATGTTTTGGGAGTTTGCCTCAGAGAAGATGAAAAATAAATTAAAACTGAGCAGAGACTTCATAGATTTGCAAAGGATTTGTTTTTCTAGACAACAGATTGTGGACCCAGTTAAAAAAAACAAAGAAACAACCAAACAACAAGAAGACAAGTATGAGGCTAAATATGTAGAAACACACTTTTTTAAAGTCTCATAGATCCTGAGTTGAATGTGTTTTATGTCTCTATTAGATTTGTATTAGATCACTTCCAAGGATTGACTCAGATATTAGAATCTATTCAGATGATTTTCTGATTATTTATATAAATACATAAAGATGAAATATTTATCTATATACATAAAGAAGCATGAAATATGAAAAGCTGTACATATTCACAGTAAAGTAGGATCTATATTAATGAAATTTATACCTTTGCATTATAATAAATGGAAATTATTTGATAGAACAACCAT